ACTGGGCATAGCGGGACAGGTCATACTGGGCATAGCGGGACAGGTCATACTGGGCATAGCGGGACAGGTCATACCGGGCATAGCGGGACAGGTCATACTGGGCATAGCGGGACAGGTCATACTGGGCATAGCGGGACAGGTCACACTGGGCATAGCGGGACAGGTCGTACTGGGCATAGCGGGACAGGTCATACTGGGCATAGAGGGACAGGTCATATTGGGCGTAGCGGGACAGGTTATATTGGGCATACCGGGACAGGTCATACTGGGCATAGAGGGACAGGTCATATTGGGCGTAGCGGGACAGGTTATATTGGGCATACCGGGACAGGTCATACTGGGTATTTATTCACTTAGTTTCCGAAAAATTGTTGTTTTTTTTTCAATTCCGCAATGTCGAATTACGCATCGCGGCTCTCAAGCCTTAGTTAGCTATACGCTCTGAAAGAGATTGCGAAATGTAAAAATTAGTTGTTTTTTTTTTTAATTTTAAATATACATTCCATCAAAGACGAGTTTAAACGCATTAAAAGCTTAAAAGAATTTGAATTTTGATTTCATAGTTTGCCTTCTCTTAGATGAGTTGCCATCCTGGGTTAACGAGTCCCATCCACCCGGGGGGGGGGGGAGTGCTGAGTTTGGTTTTGTTGGGGATCCAACTAGCTTGCGATTGACTCCGTTAAAATTACTCGGCCACCCAGCCAATTTCCCCCCCCCCCCCAAACCACAGTAGAGAGTTACGCTGAATATCGTACAGAATGCCAGAGATGTCAACGTCCAGTTGCAGATGGGACCGTGTCTTCAAGGATCCCAAAGCCTGGTCAAGTAACCACAAGAGATACATATTTCCGGAAAGATTCATCAGGCCCCTGTTGTGTATTGCCGTAGATTCATATTTTTACACTGCCTCTTTCTTCACCTACTGAGGCGTTGTTTACACGCCGGTTTGCTGTTACTGTTTGTTTCTGTGGCAATTTCCTTTGCAGCGGTCATTGTTAATGCAAATAATATTTCTGTACTTGGGGAGGAACTGGATTAGACAATGGACACTTGTCATTTAATGGCTACATCGAGTTGCATAGTCGACATCTTTGCGCTGTTGGCCTTAGAGAGGTAGTAAGGGAACCGGACGGAATGACCAATTAATTATCTTATGCGTCCGAACATTGTGTTGACTGGAATGGACGAATTAAAGAGTCGGCACTATCCTGGCTAAATTAATAATAGTATAAGGGCTACACGTGGGGGCCGAGGAGCGTGGTCGCCCCATTCGCCTTGTCCCCCAGTGCTGGCCCTGCTGTGGGCTTTTTTTTTTTGTAAGTCAGGTGTTCTTAAAAAAAAATGAAATTTATGAAGAGCCGTTTGCGATCTAATACGAAACAATCCATTATTTCTGCTCTAGCGATTTTGTCAATCGGAAGTACTAAGGCGTGAAGACTGCTCACTGTGGTGACGTGACTGAGAGGTGACTGCTCATTGTGATGACGTGACGGAGAGGTTTGCATCTTTGAAGACGAGTTAAGTCAAGCTTTATCTGTTGTTAAGATTAATATTTCAATAAACAGCAATTTTGATGCATTTTTTTAACCATGTTATTTTAAATTCTAAGTTTTCGTCTAACGTCATTTTTAGCTTTAGCTCTTAATTTACAAACAATACCACCCCCGTCCAAAAAAAAAAGAGGGGGGGGGGGAGGGGTGTGACACAATGAGTTTTGTGTAACACATGAATTATCATTATAATTTTGATTTTTTTTTTTTTTTTTTTTTTTTTTTTGCAGCTGACAATAGAGAGGAGTGATGTGACACAGGTGTTATAATGTATATGAAAATGGACAAGAGAGGTGTTGTGATGTCAAGTCTCCTCCAAACGGGTAGGCCCCGGGCCTCAACCACTTCTAGGAGGTTCCTCCCCCTCGACACACCCGCCTCTTTCTCCCAATCTTCAGCCGACCCTACAGTGCCGCCTTCTCATTCGTAGCACTCATGGGCGCCCCCAGAAAACTTTCTAGGGGGGGGGGGGCAAAAAATCGATTAACTTTCCGGGGGGGGGGGGCAAAATTTTTTTAGTAATGTTTTAAATAGTTTTAATTTACTGTAGCGTATTTGTATGGTGAACGAAGGGACAGGACATCAGCTTAGTTACTTTCTCTTTATTTTCTCTTTACTTAAATGAATTTTTTGTCTATTTTTGTCTAAACATTTTTTATCCAATCAATCCAGGGGAGGCGGGGGGCAAGTGCCCCACCTTGCCACTACCTGCGGGCGCCCATGGTAGCACTGTATTTAAAAGCAATGCCCCGTTGGGCCGGCTTGCCAAATGTTAAAGCATGTTTCAAGCCCAATTACTTTCGCTTTACACTAGTGTGTTCTCTCTCTTTTCCTCGCCACCTTTTATTTAACCCACGCGCAAAGGTCAAAGGTTAATCGCCGTCTGGCATTCCAGGACATCTAGGGCACAACCATTTCATTTGCTAAACTACTTTTTTTTTTTTTTTTATTTAATGCATGGAGTGATCAGGAAGGGGGTGAACTTAAAGAGAAGTTAAGATTTAAAAGTAAAGCATTGGATTGTGGTGGAGATAGGCAGGGTTTGAAATATTTATAGGTATCACGGGGAATGTACACCTGCATACCAATATCCCCACCACGTGGTATATCCACGAGACTGTCAATATCACACCTTACATTGAGACTGTCACTATCACTTGGTATATAGAGAATGTCAATATCACGTGGTTTATAGACGATACTGTCAATATCACATGGTATATACAGGATACTGTCCATATCACATGGTATTTACAGGATACTGTCAACATCACGAGGTATATACACAAGAATGTCAATATAACATGGTATATAGACGCTGTCAATGTAACGTATTATTTACAACACACTCATTGCGGCATGCAGGGTTTCTATCATCTATATCTCCGGGGGGGGGGGGGGGAGAGAGACCAACGCCCCCCCCCCCCAAGAGCAAAAAAAAGTCCCAAAAAAAACCAACCGGCCCCGCCGGCCCCGCCCCCCCCCCCCCCCCCCGAAAAAAACTGAAGTGCCACCCTGGGCGAAAATTTCTGAAATAATCACTGGCGGCATGGTATATATACGAGACTGTCATTAGCACCGGGTATATAAACGAGAATCAGATTGTCAATACAATTTTCTATGAAGAGCAGATTGTTAACGTCAGGTGGTATCTAGATGTGGAAGTATTTAAGTGTTGACTGAACGAGAACAAGACAGAGACCAATGTCCTAACATGACAGAGACCAATGTCCTAACATGACAGAGACCAATGTCCTAACATGACAGACATCAATGTCCTAACATGACAGAGACCAATGTCCTAACATGACAGAGACCAATATCCTAACATGACAGAGACTAATGTCCTAACATGACAGAGACCAATGTCCTAACATGACAGAGACCAATGTCCTAACATGACAGAGACCAATGTCCTAACATGCCAGGGACCAATGTCCTAACATGACAGAGACCAATGTCCTAACATGACAGGGACCAATGCCCTAACGTGATAGAGACCAATGCCCTAACATGACAGAGACCAATGTCCTAACATGACAGGAGCAATGTCCTAACATGACAGAGACCAATGTCCTAACTGTCGAGTATGAGCGTTCATTAGTAATTGTTGGGACTCAATATTAATTAGTTGTTGAACGCTTTTCCCGCGCTTGACTATTATAGTTAGTGAACGCTCTCCCCGCCATTGTCTCTATGACGTATTTTTATGCTGATTCGTGACGTATTGTCTATGCAGTATTGTGACGTATGTTGTAGTCGTGCGGCAGTCTTGAGTGGAACCTTGGAGTGATAGGATGTGTATTATTTAGGTCTGATAGCCAGCTGCGCCATATTCGCGTGTATGTGTATTATATTTACTTAGACATTAATGTTATATTTATTATGAAAAGGAGTTGAGTTTGTTCAATAATAGTAGGAATAGTACCACGCTTCAACGTGTGAAAAGAACTGACGAATGTAATCAATCCAAGAAGACTGTATAGGAGTTGACACTAACATGACAGAGACCAATGTCCTAACATGACAAAGACCAATCTCCTAACTTTAATTTTTATTTAATGATTTTTTTTTATTATCGGAACATTCTAAGATTAATATAAACATAATTTTCAATCAATTTACATTTTTTATGAACATTTAAAAAAAACAATACAGCGGTACCTCGGTTTAAGAACGCCCCAGGTCACGAACAATTCAGGTTACAAACAACAACTTCGAAAATTTTTGGTCTCGGGTAACGAACAAGTGCCTCGGGTTAAGAACGAAGGCGAGAGAGAGAGCAAGGTTTAAAGTTGGAGACAAATGATAGCGTACAATAGAAATGAAGGTCAGGCAGACGACCTTGTGGATCTTCAGAACGAACAACTGAAGACATTAAAGAAGGAGCAGTTGTCCGATGACGTGGAGCCAGTGACCGGTTCAACTGCCAGGATTAAAGAAATGGCAGCACGTGGGAAGACGTCAAAGACTTCATTGGGAACCATGATCCTAAGCAACTTGTTGCTAACAGGGCAGTAAACCAGATGAACGATGACGCGATGGCCCACTTCAGAAACATTCTCCAGCAAAGGAAGTGACAACGTTCCCAGGATAGTTTCTTGGTGCAGAAAGATTTCCAGTCGGCTGCCAAGAGACTCCTGAAACGAATGATTTAGAATAGCAAAGAAAATGACAAATTTCCCATGATCATTCTCGTGATAAGAAACAGACTAAATCTTTCTTTATTTTACATTTAATTTATTTAGTTGTTTTCTTTCTCTTTATTTAATGCGTGAAGTACACATATTCTTCGCTTTCTATCAGATAAATGACCGGATGTTAATAAAAAAGAACGATTCTTTCATCTTGAAACAGATTGTTTCTATTTGAAAGATTTCAATGTTTGCGGTTACAAACGTTTCAGGTTACGAACAGAGTTCTGGAACAAATTCAACAAAATTAAGGTTTAAGAATGGTTTTATTTGATATATGGCATTGATAACAAATTCTTTGTTAAAGAAATCGTCATTGCCAGGTTTTCACAGCACAAAATCATTCTGCAAGATGGCAAGCAACAACTTTCACTCTAATATCTTCTATGTACACTTTAGTTTCAACAAAATCACAGAGATCTACATCAGCCGACACGCTAGCCATACCTTCGTAAAACATGATATTACTCAATACTTTTCTACATGAGATGATCTGATACTTAAGTCTAGATAATTATTTAAGAACTTTCAATGATCTATTCATAACTGCAGGTGTCTGTAGTGGCAAAATGACTTGAGCTGTCTGTAGAGACAAAAGGAATGGAGCTGTCTGTAGTGACAAAATGAATGGAGCTCTCTGTAGTGACAAATCTCTGGAGCTGTCTGTAGCGACAAATGACTGGAGCTGTCTGTAGGGACAAAATGAATGGAGCTCTCTGTAATGACGAATCCCTGGAGCTGTCTCTAGTGACAAAATGACTGGAGCTTTCTGTAGTGACAAAATGACTGGAGCTGTCTGTAGTGACAAAATCCCTGGGTATGAAATGATTTGATGATCTTGTAACAACTCCATACACCACTTCCTTGTTGTGACTCCATCCATCACTTCCTTGTAGTAACTCCATCATTCACTTCCTTCTCCCCTCATCATCCACTTCCCCATCATCATAATCTTTACTTGCCAACTCCTTCAGCCATTCGCTCTTTAATTTCTCGAGGACTTCCCTGGACACAACTCCCCTCTCCACAAGCTTTTTGGACAGTTTACTTGCCTCCAACTGAGGGGACAAAACAACAACAAACACTAATGACGGCTAGTTCAAAAACAAAGTCTTTTGCTGGTCTAAGCATCATAAATTCTTAAATTGATCCAAAGAGATAAAAGGAAAGAATCAATAATTATATGATAGTGTGGTCAGGTATCTATGATTCAAATTTCCTTTTCACTGATAGTAAACAAATCTATTCAGAGTCTATAACAAAACCTGAAAGTAAATTAGGCGAGTGTCACTAAATATGACACGAATTAAGTATTTTTAACAGCCAGCGTGTGCCGTCTTTCCTTATTAAAGACCCAGTGAAATTCTGTCCGAACCACCTTGTGACTTTCAAATATGTGAGATGAAAAGTTGTCTGTTACGAAATAACGGGGTGGGGTAGGCGGTGGGGGAGGTTTGTTTGCTGTCATAGAAGTAATGAGTAATTTAGATGATTCCCTAAAGGGTAAAGGACACCTCAGTTTAAAGCTGTCTAGACTTTAAGGATATTGCATGAACATTTTAAAAGCATGGGGATTTAAAATGGCTAATAAATAGTTGTGTTTAAATAAGAGGATGGTCGATGCAGGACTTTACCCTGCTGACATTATCTGGATTTAATTCCCTAGTTCCTGAATCAAGTTATCATGCCCGTATCTATTTGTTATTTACACTACAATTATTATTTATTATGTACACTGCACCTCTCTAATTATTATTTACACTTAATCACTCTAATTATTATGTACATTTAATCACTCTAATTATTATGTACACTACAAGTCTCTATTTATTATGTACACTACAAGTTTCTATTTATTATGTACACTACAAGTTTCTGTTTATTATGTACACTTCAAGTTTCTATTTATTATGGTCTCCACCTATCATCTCTTCATGCTGTGCCATTGACACACATGAGCCTTTCAAGAGAGCCACAAACTAAAAACTCTCCAGAAAATAGATTATAATGTGGTGACAATGAAATCATTTTGTCATATCTTACTTTAACTCATTCTTATCTACAATTTAACAAGTCAGAGGAGGTGTTGAATTTTCAACTCCGCGTTCAATAATTATAAAATGAGTGTTAAAAAAATATGAGTTTTTTTACCTGGTGCGCTGACATTTCCTCTTTTTTCTTTTCCCGCATCTGCTGCAAATCAAAGTCGAGAGGTTTTTTAATCGCCCGTGTTCTCTGATTGCGTGTCTTAATGACAAAATCATCCTCACCATCAACAAGGTCAAGGTTACCTGACTGCTGATTCTTCACAAGTTGGACAATGTTTTTTACACCGACTTGAATGATTTGGTCAAGCTCTGTCTGGAGTTCTCTGACCATATCAGGATCAGGAAACATGTCCTGGAACCTATAACTAGAGACATAAATTGAGCCTTTTTTAGTATGGTCAAACAATGTTTAAGAGAAGTATGAGTATATGTGAAATTTTGAGATTTTTGCCATATACAGAGCAGCATATTGTTTAAGTATGAATCAAGAATTACTTAAGGTACAATCATCTACAATAATCTCCTTTTTAAAATAAAAACTCCATTTCAGAGCCATTTTTTAATCATTTTAAATAATCAAAAAGACCATGCAAAAAAACAAAATAAATGGTTTATGTGAATTGACCAACTTCCCTAAAACATCTCAACACTGTGCTATCTATAATGAAAGAAACTTGTTCATGTCTGCATTCAAACTCACAATGCCACGCTACTACACTAGAAACTCCTCTACACACCCTTTAGTTATTAAGAATTAAAGTAAATCTACAGAATTGTTGAATTTTTAGTCAATATATGGGGTGGTATAGAAGTGAGAATCAACTCACATGTTTAGAGATGATTAAATTCAATTTGTAGATCATATGGAAACAATGAATAAATCTGAAGGTTGGACAGGAAAGTTTGACTGATCAATGCACTTAAGCTACAGATGAAGGAAACATCAGATGGTTTATTTTTTATAAAATGACAATGAGTGCAAGCATAACAACCAGCAAAATTCTGAATGTGTTTCCCTACCTCAGCCAAAGGTAAAGATCTAAGACATCAAAAACAGCCTCGAGATGCATGAGGTCTGCTAAATTTCCAGCTGGCTTCAAAGGCCATCCAATCCTTTGACACAGCCAGTCCAAGGTCAAGGGTTCATTTCTGCTAAAACGCCTTGCAAACTGAACCAGATACATTGAAGTTGTTAAAATTGGTGGAATTTAAAAAAATAATTTATGATACTCACACTTCCAAGATATGGTCCAATAATGTGAGCTTCATTTCTTTTTTGGCTCGTAACTTTTTTTATAACAGTCACAAAAATGATAAACATCAATCAATATAGTATTAATATTTATTTTGTTTTGTACCATCAATTACACTTCAGATAACAAACAGGCTTAACTGCCTTCCATGGTGTCTGATGTGCTTTAAAAAAAGAGATTTATTTTATAGTCTGAGAACTCTTACCTGTAAAAACATTGTGCAAGAAAATGCTTGCTTGACGGAGATAGGAGCACAACAGAAGACATATCTGACCCTGAGAGGTAGTGGAACATGCTCAATCATATCAGCAAGGAATTTAAAGTCATCCATCTTGCACATGAAAAATGTGTTGTTGTCAAGCTCACAGCTCAATTCAAATATTTCCTGACAGCAATAGTGAAAAAAATGTGGATGAATACAACTAACAAGCTAACCAGAACAAATTGAAATTGAACAAAAGCATAACTTAGTGTGAATAATTTGATTGTCATCTTTTCAACAATGGCTCAAAAAAAGCATATTATTCACATAGAGCATGAACAGAAATGACAAGTGTGAATTTGTAATAATGAATTATTAACAAGTCATGTTATTTACTGTCAAATAATTAAAGGATGTATCCTTATAGAGACTTTTTTTTTTAAAAGACCATCACAGAACATGCAAACAAATATCATAATTGCCTTCTCTGCTCTATCACAGGAACGGCAACAAATATCATTGCCATTCTGTGTTCTATGTTGAAGATCTGAGATGAAAAATTAACAAAGATTGACCCCATTATAAACTCTACTTAATGTGAATAAAATGGACCACTAAAAATTATCTTTATATATCTAAAATTGCAAACCTACGCACAATGAGGTTGGAGAGTGAGGCTTTAGGAAGGTGGTAGGCAAATAATTCAATCTGATCAGCAGTTGGATGGAGACCGCCTTGCTGAAATTGATACATTTCCCATTTTTAATGGCAAAGCAACACAAAAAGACATGTGACCTTAATAATTATTTTGCTTCATAAAATTGTATTGTGCATAGTTTCTGGAAAATCTAAAGGCAATTTGTCTCAGGCTTTAACCAAAATGACTAGAAATAAATGCTACCTACCATGATTGGTTCAATAGGCTGATCTAGAAACAAATGCTACCTACCATGATTGGTTCAATAGGCTGATCTAGAAACAAATGCTACCTACCATGATTGGTTCAATAGGCTGATCTAGAAACAAATGCTACCTACCATGATTGGTTCAATAGGCTGATCTAGAAACAAATGCTACCTACCATGATTGGTTCAATAGGCTGATCTAGAAACAAATGCTACCTACCATGATTGGTTCAATAGGCTGATCTAGAAACAAATGCTACCTACCATGATTGGTTCAATAGGCTGATCTAGAAACAAATGCTACCTACCATGATTGGTTCAATAGGCTGATCTAGAAACAAATGCTACCTACCATGATTGGTTCAATAGGCTGATCTAGAAACAAATGCTACCTACCATGATTGGTTCAATAGGCTGATTTAGAAACAAATGCTACCTACCATGATTGGTTCAATAGGCTGATTTAAAATGTCTTGAAGAATTTTCAGATCTTTGGGATAAAATGTTGTTACTTCTCCATGTTCATAAGCTGTGTTGAATCGCCCAGCTCTACCAGCTATCTGCAATGCCTGAGACGTTGAGATGAGGTCCATTTCCCTCTCACCTTTTTCATTTAACATTGGTTTCATCACAGAATAGAAGACAACCCGTTTAATAGCCCTATCATTTAAAATGAAAAATCAACACACACAAAAATTAAAATATATCTTTCCTGAATGATGAAAATAAATGATCAACATGTATGCGGCGGGTAACCTAATTAAGGAGGGGTATATTTAAATAATTTAATATAAATTAAGTTAAAACTAATAATAAACAAAAAACTTTAAGCATTGTTCATCCTTGGAATGCGAAGATGATCAAGGCTATGGTCAGTAAACAAGTGGCTTGGAGTCTAATTTATTCCTGGAAAGCTTGCCCGCAGTTGGACACATATTATGTTTTGGGGTCTGGAGGGATAGGATGTAATGCTACTTTTCCTTGCTGTGTGCTTTCTGTGGGCATTTACTCTCTGAGGATTGTGCTCCAACCGTGAATCTTTGTTGCTAGTTTGTGTGATCCATATCAAGTGTTTACCATGAATTCAGGTAGATGTCCATGGATTTGATGGACACTTTGAGACAATATTTAGAGCCTTTTTTTTCTGTCCAACAGCTGAGTGTTTCCCTCTATAAAGTTCACAGGACATTAGTTGTTTAGGCAGTCTGCTGTCTGGCTTCTCGCAACATGTCCTGGCCATTTGGCTTTTCTCTTTGTAAGAACATATGGATACTGTTAAAGCCAGTCTTTTGGAGCACTTCTTTATCAGAACCTTTGTAAGTGGAGATGGCTTAGTTTTCTAGCATATCTGTCCACATCTCACTGGAAATAGGAGAGTTCTTTATATGATTGTCCTATATACTTTCAGTTCAGTGACAAGACTGAGCCCCCTTTGCTACCAGACATTCACGTGGAGCCTTCCTAATGCGATATTCACTTTGGAAATTCTACTGCTGATCTCATTATCTATTTTTATTGACCTTCAGAGGGTGCTACCTAAATATCTAAATTTTTCTACTGCTTGGAGATTCTGCCCCTTTTCTGAAATGTTAGATTTTTGTAGACTTTCCTGTAGATAACTGGTTCAAGATCTTTGATTTTTTTTGTATTGATAGCCAGGCCTATAGCTGTTGCAGGCTTTAGCAAAGAGATCAAGTATTTGCTGCATTTTTCAGTTCTGAGCTGGCAGTTAGGGCATTTATTTCAGCCAATAATAAGTTTCCAGTAACATTTTCTTTATCTTTTGTATTGTCTTTCAGTAACAAACTAAATTTTATCTAAATTAAACAATCTAAATGTATTGAAGTATTTTTGCTGGCATCCGTCCGTCACAATGTGACGCCGCTGGATAACCCAAGGGAACATCATTGGATGATACAGCTTGGCACCAGTGATGTCGCAGGAGTTGTCGGAATGTTTCATTGTATCAATGTTATCCGCCTTTCGGGACTCCATCTCCGGGTTAGAGTTCAGAGTTTCCATCTCTTAAATGGAACTCCAGACCACCAACTTGACATATGCTCAGTTTAGTCCACTTGGCCACCCAGCACCTCTGAAGTATTTTAGTCATACAAATAAGGGTCAGACTTAATGCATTTCGCATGTGAAAGTCTTAACATTAGGCAACAAACTGGCTGATGCCAGGTATAGTCATTTCAAAGTTATCAATTAGCTCCACTTGCTCTTCATGTATTTCAATTTTTAGAAAAGCTTTCAACTCATATAAATATTACTCGACATCAATGTCAATGTTATGTCGCAAGAACTGACCATATTTTTAAATCTCTGACCCAAAAAAAAAGAAATTGGTAGATCTTTAGTAATGTTAAGCCCTCTACATTAAATTTAGACTTTGCATGTCAGTAAGTTCCATTTGAACATTTCTAGTAAAGCGCCCACTTTCCTAACCTCAACCCCCTATTTTATAATGTTTGCATCTGTTAATTTGGTCTCCTTGCGTTCCATGCGATTCACAGTCATATTTTTTTCTTTTAAGTAATGACATACTTATAAAACTCATGAATTAGTTCAAGATTTCTTCTCTGAAGTTTGTTGGTTTTTTCCAATCCTGAGGGTGAGATAAATTGAGCAAGTAGACAGTTGTGTGGCAATCTTTTGTTAATATCATGCCAAGAATTTCCACTTCATTCAGTGTGCAAAAAATCCCTTACCTGACAAGTTATTTTTTTCTTTGGTCGTTAGAATGCCATTTAAAATCGCTCTGCATGCCACACCAGACATGTATGCTATAGGTTGCTGACCTTATTAGAATGATCTAATACAATTAAATATAATTTTTGTTTAATCCAATATAATTATCAGGTATTTTTAAATTTTCTTTTTTTTTTCCACTTTTCCCAGAGAGAAGAGAAAAAGGAAGTTTTTTGTTTTTTTTTAAATAAGTCAATTCAATGACTTTAATCATCTCAAATAATCAGATTAGATCTTTAAGATTAAAACATGTTTAGTGTCTGTATAAAAATGAATTTTTTTAACTCACAGGTTTAAGCCCATGCCTATGGCATCAGTAGCCACCATGACTTTACAGGCATTGTTGGTGTCATTAAACTTGGCAGACTGGGCGAGCTTTGTGGCTGTAGACAGAGAACATCATTGTCATTCATACAGTAAATAGCATTCTGAGATGACAAATATAGAGTGACCTCATATAGCGTTCTGTTTAGTACCTGAGCCTCCATTTGTCTTGATCACTTATTTCATTTACCACACCCAGAATTACAAGAACTGGCTAAAGAATCTGAATTTGATGGTGGTTCAGTAGCCAGAGATAAAGATAATGACAGCATGCATAATATATTTCTATAAATGTGGAAAATAACTACTGATATTTAAGAGTGTATTAGCTCATGAATAGTAGAATCAAACAATTTACAGGATGAAAAAAGGGAGGTGGAATAAGGGAAGAATTTTCATGTGTAATATACGGCTGGCCCGAGAAAGAAACATTTTAATTTCATATAAGAACTGCGATAATATTTCATAACATAATGGATACAACCCAACACACGGATTTTTTGAGAAAAAGCAGTTATTTACTAACATGGTGGTAGAGATCCATAGATGACGGCACACTCCCTTCCCAGCTGTTCTAGCTGCCGCGTTACGTAGTAGATGTCATTTTTGCTGAAACATACTATACAGTCACCGGGACGGACGTTTTCAAATTTACCTGCATTCAAAATAGTGATTCAGAAATTAAATTATATGCATCATCTAAAATCATTATACTATTTAAATATTTAGTATATATTTATATACTATGAACTATTAAACTATATTTGCTTCTTGAGCCCACTACTGACACAGCCCCACCAAAATCAACATACCTACTGCATAATCCAAAAATGTTAGATTGGTAAGTCTTTTATATTTGCGCACCTGAAAAGGGAGAAACTTGATTATCTTTATTTCTTGCTTGTAGCAATAATCTTCTTTCTTCTTATCTTTTATTGTAACAAAAACAACAAAAACAAAATTATCCAGATTCAAACTTAGAAAGGCAAAAAATTAAAATAACTATGAATTGCACCTCAACTTCCTCTCCTGTAGTCAGTGCCATCTCCTTTATGAGGTCAATAGTTGAGACTTCACCACAGACATGAATTTCTTTGGCATACAACCCGAGAACAGCTCTGGTCCATGCCCATCCACGTTGTTGGTCTCGGATCATTTGTATCTCATCAATAACTGCTACTTCATCTGGATAAAGGGATACAATTGACCAAATATATTTTTTGTAATTTCACTTATATGAGTGCTTTATTTATTATTATCAAACAATTAAATCTTGAAATATTATTTAATCTCAAATGCTATTTTATACAAAATAATTAACATTGCAAGACATTCCCTTACTCCAGAGAAAACATGTATAATTTAATGTTTACAGTTTTATTTTTCAAGTCTTCAAGCAATGAAATAAATTTTAACCCTGAAGTGAAAGCATAAGACACATTTTGGGCTTCTGAAATAATGCTGCTTGATCAAATGTTGCTAATCTTAAAGGTTTACATTGAATACGAACCTACATTTTGAAAAGAATTATTTTTTTTAAACGGATACAGTTGTGAACTAGATTTAAGGGCGTGAATGTTTTATATGGAAAGTTGTTGATCATGAGAGGTTTTGTGATTGTGTGTTTGGCTCAGAGAGTATTAGTGTAGCTGTTGCTATATGCTGGGATTTTATGATGTATTTGGGTAAGGGGAAATGATATTGTGGATGTTATTATGGTTTTGGAATGATAGCAGTGATGGAGAGTTAGATTTTCAGAGTTATACATTTAATAAAAGTTTGTTCCATAAAACATTGGTTTTTTAGTAACTAAATTAACCCTACACAATGAAGGTATTGAACTGGCAATTTCCCGTTTGTAACAATAGTAATTTTAATGAATCCACATTGCAGGGAGACACCCTTTAAAGATTGTTAATCACACAAAAATCAAGCATCATGATAGTCTGTTTATCCTGCTTTATAAAATAACATTCAATAGAGAAAAATACAACTTGAAAAGCCAGGTTAAATCAAACTAACATGGTGTGGTTAAACTCGCCATCTCTACTGTACAAGCGACATGAGCAGACTGAGTGTTATCTTCACAGGCAAATCTCCTCTCCTCTCCTGTAACAAGGTCACATAGTGTACCCTGAAATAATATGGTATTCATTTCACAGTGAGAAATGAAATTATTTGTATGTAAATCAAGGTACTGATCTGCAGTTATCAAATTTCTATTTGAACGCATTATTTTGTATTACTATATAGTATAGTGCGTTCAAAAAGAAATTTGACACAAAATTAGATCGTGTGGACTGAAAAAAGAATTCGACCAAATTTCCGTTCAATCAAATTTGCGTCAACGAAATTTCTTTCAAACAAATGTCCGGTAACCGATCTGCAGCAATCTTTTTTTATATATATCTTTTTAGGTAATTCCCAAAGGAGGTAAACAATTTAGACTATTTCTTCTTTTTAAATTATTAGACCAAAATTATCAATAGAATCTTTTAACAATTTTTTAATTTATCAATAAATTGTGTTTATATTATAAATTAACAAACTAGGGCATAACCAACTTTTCTCCATAAGAGGTAGTTTCTTTTGTAATATGTAACAATTCTAAAAATTGGAGCAACTCATTCAGGAGAATCTTAAAAGTATTAATACTTATGTAGGCATTTAGATACTAACTGTGCCAAAGTTGTTAGCATAGTTGTGAAAAGGTGTACAACCTTCTGGCCTGATTTTTGCACTGTTGACTGGCACATTATACAATTTTGTTATATGTCAAATTCTGTATCGTTAACACTTAAAAATGTTTTGTCTCATATGAAAGTAAACTTACAGCCTCATTAAATTCCATATTAAAAAAACTTACAGCCTCATAATATTCTCATATTAAAGTAAACTTACAGCCTCATTACATTCTCATATTAAAGTAAACTTACAGCCTCATTACATTCTCATATTAAAGTAAACTTACAGCCTCATTACATTCTCATATTAAAATAAACTTACAGCCTCGTTACATTTGTGGTACACTTCAGAAGCTAACAGTTTTAACGGACCACAATATATGCCTGATTTAGCCGTTATAAATCTTTCCAAGGCATGGTAGGTCTTCCCGCTATTTGTTGGGCCGGCATGGAAAATAAACTTTCTCTGAATAGAGCGGGCTTCTGGGTACCTAAAGAAAATAGTTTGTAAAACAGCATTATTAATTAATTTATAAAGTTAACTTAAGAACAAATATGCCCCCTTTCAAAGTATAATCCATTTGTTCTTTTTTAAAGAGTTTCTATACTGTTAATTATATTTTAAATCATTTTTATGGTCTATTTTGATTAGTTTATACTTTTTTGTTGATTAATTTTCTGGAACAACTTTTTCATAATTGCAAGCAAAATTCCTAGCGTGGTTATTACCAGTTGGCAGGAAAACGAAGATCACTTATTTTCTTCAAATCCTCCATTGATTCCAAATGAGGAAAAATTTCATAGCAGTGCTTTAGAAAGTAGGGGAAAATGTCATCAACATGACCTGTGACGATAGTAAGCAAAACAAGGCCCTTATTCCATAATCTTGATACAAAGTGTAATAAAAATGAAATGAACTCATCTGAAAATACAAATGTTTATATATTACAGATGCATAATTTCTTTGCTTGTTGCTTTTTTTTTTTATGTTGTTTAAAAGTGTCATTATACAAGTGCTTAACTCTGTCACAGATATCCAGGAAATAGCGGAACAAGAAATGATATGGCATACAATGAAAAAGACAGGACAATCAAAAGAATATTTAGACAAGAAACAACAAAGATTTTAAATGAATTTAAGAACATATGTGTTTAACAAGATTGAGGAGAAAATAAAATAATCATATTTGCTGACTCACCTGAACCTTGTAGGATATCACTGAAAACAATATGGAGATCTACTGGTAACTGTTCTGATTTGACACAGAAATTTCTGAAACTAATGTATGCCTTGTAAAATAAATTATCTGAAAAAAATAAATAAATAAATGGGAATAATTATGTATAGATCTTAAATTTGTATGCTTACTATGAAAGGAAAGTTAGATCAGGTGTGATTAAATAGTTTTAATTTTGTGTGTGCGGTAACAAAATACTTACTATCTAATCCATTTTCAAAGGCAAGCTTTTTCACTTCTTCACGACTGTGAAATTGAGTAAGCAGTTTCAAAAGGTTTTCTAAAAAAGAGAGAATACAGATAATATTAATTCTGTAAGTAACTTTGTCTTACCAATATTCTTTAAGCATGAAAGAGCTGCTATCTACATTGAATACTGGTAACTAAATTCAGAAATGATTTGCATCATATGTAAAATGCTGTACCCAAATATACACATGCATATAAGGAATGATCTCTACATTTCGAAGAATGCTGTTGTCTGCCACATATAGGAGGCATGGAATCTATGTTTAGAAGTCTGTGCATTTAGTAGTTTACTAGTTGTGGATTTTTACAAATATTCCTTAGGGGAGCATATTTTTAAACTGTGATGAGTGGATGATGGTAACTTTAAAAAACAATAAATGATTGGATAACATGTATGAAAATATTTTATAACCTTTTCTTAAAGTTCCTGTCAGCTCTTCTCCTATATTTATGTCATCATTTTTAGATGTAGGTAGTACAGCCAATGGCTGGATCACAGAGGACAATGTATCCTTTGACTTTTTAGACTTGTAGCGAACACAAACAATCAAACAATTTTTCAGCTCCGTCACTGGTGCATTAAAATATTTGAAGACACGCTGACCCATCCCAACCACATTCTTTGATTTGTTAAAGAGTCTCAAGGTGTACCGACTTGCCATAGTGAACTGATCAAAACAATACATAAATTTTAAAAAACAGACAAATGTAAATTTAAAGTCTTATTTATAAACAATGTAATTATATATTAAAAACTTCTTTTTGATCAAATTGGACCAATAGAGATCATCTCTATTGTTCCCCAATATATGTAAAAGTAAAGGCATAAACATGATGGTGGCACATGCAATGGACTCAATGGTGATGAATGTTATAAAAATGGCCTCACAGCCTTAAGGTCTTGATTTCAAACCTCAACTTTTAATATTCATATTGAACTATTGTTTCAAGGCTAATAACAAGGAACGCTTAGTAAAAGCAAGACATTCAAAATGGTGACCATGTACATGTACAATATTTTGTTTGGATTTTGTTTGACAGACTTGTCAAATACTCCCCTCCTCAGGAGATTTTTTTTCTTTATTATTATTTTGGTATTAAAAGTGTGGCGAGGGGTCTCTCCACAAGTTCTGAAACACTAGTTATCAAATATTTCAGTGTATATAGTGGAAATAATTTAATATTTCCTTAAATATTGTGACGACACCCATTTCTGATACAAATTAAGTAGGTTTTAGCACAAAGGTACTTGGATTTTCAACTAATCAAACGACAGTACTTTTAGCATGCGTTTTTTATTTTCCCCGGTCTTGGGGTTTCAGCAACAATGTGTTTCTTTTTTAAGTCTACCGGTATGTTGAATTTTAATAAAAATTAATGGAAAGTTTCCTTTTAATATTTCGAACAGATTTAGTTTATGATGGGAGTAATGCTCAGTGAAGTACAGCAAATATAACACACACATTGTTCATGTAATTTAACAATAATTGATAATTGACATGCCGCATTGGTTAGGCATTTTGATGAAAACTGTTGTGACCCTTATTTTGCTTTTGTTTTTACGACTATAGCTTTATGAGACAAAAATATAATATTTACAGGGAACATGAGTTCTTCTAAATAAAGCCACAAAATATACATTTATTTTTTGTTAACATTCCGCACATTCTTTTGAAAAATCGTTAGAATTTTCCTTATTAAATGTATTTAAAAAGCTGACCATTAAAAGGTTACTGGTCATAGCAACCAAGATGGCGGCACATTTACCACATTTACCAATTAATTAGACACAAACAATTTGTGCAAACAAAAAAAGATATATTAAGCATTAAAATGGTTATACAGAATACAAATGTAGGCATTTCGACAAATGCCTTCATCAGTACAAAAAACTTTCACATAAGTATTAAATTATAATTACACCTACACTACACTCAACAGTTGTTCAGTATTCAGTTCAGTAGAACAGTGTAAGAGTAAGTGTAAGCCTAGATATTTCGATGAAACAAGGGAGACTACTACTTTTTGTGTATCGGAAATGGGCGTCGGCGCCAAAAAATCCGAGTTTTTAATTTTCCTATGTGTTTGTCTATTTATTATTAAATGAGTTCTTTCGACATATATTTGAGTTCCGTTTCCGGCCTTATAATTTGGAAGACATCTTGGCCTACATTTCCATACAGCTATTTTGCTTTTTTCAATCGACTTTTATTTTGAAAATCTTTGGTATATATAATGCATCTTCGCATACAAAATTTTTTGTGAAATAGTAAGATAAGGCCCTTTTTGATTAAATCTGTATAAGCATTAGATATTGATATATATCTGTGCCAATTCTCATTGATGTAGGTCGTGTCCCACGTTTGTTACGCTTGTCACAGTGACCCATATCACCATAAGGTCACATCAGCCTAATTTCGATATGGCGTGGGCCACGCCCTCTTTTTAATGGCGGAAGTTGCCGATACTTAGGAAATATTTAATTATTACCACTATATACATCAAAATATTTGATAACTTGTGTTTCAGAATGCATTTTAAAGACATTTAAAATGGAATGTTTTAATTTGAGCTTTAAAAACCCAGTAGAGTCCATATCATAAATGATCAGAATTTTCTATGTGCAACACGTTGTCATTGGCAACCATTCACAGCCACTTGCATAACGGCTATATCGTAGTACTATCTCAGAGTTTCATTCATAAGAGGAGATACACAAGAACGGGAAATTATAAGTTAAGGAAGTGTAACTATTTGGAAGAAATTATGTAATTATTATAATTTTATGAAAGATATACATACAATTTTAAAAAAGATTAGTTTATTTTTTTTTTTCTTTGTATAAAATTCAGCAGCCGTTGTGCTGGTGCTGATAAAGTCTGGATCTTATATAAAATATATAGTCATTGCGCATGACGCGATCAGCGGAATGAGGTCACAGCGGAATGAGATCACAGTCCAGGTTAACTTAAAAAAGAACAAACCAAGTAGTACTTTAAAAATATTCATAACTTTAAAACTACAACAGCTAAAAATATGATTTTGGTGTTACAATTCTGTAAAAAATTAGCGCTATTCAACTATGCCATTGGTAGGTACTTGGATATGAGGCTATTTTGACGCAATCGCGGCCCATAGGATTTTGAGACGCTTTTTTGGGTGTGCTGGATGATAGGGTTCACTAAAAAATTATTTTTTCGCGCTACAAACGTCGGATCAACGAACGAATTACTGTTCTAGTTACGTTAATGAACGAGCTTTAACGACATCCATTTTGTTTTCAGTAATATCAGTATGTCGTAAATAAAAAAAAATGTGAGAAAGCAGCCAAGTTAAATTTATCAATATTTTGAAAACTATTCCTTGTCCCATTTTAAATCGACCTGGTGTACCTGTAAAATTGTATAAAAAATGACCATGTAAAATTTCAAGTCTCTAAGACCACAAAAACATTGTTATTTTATTGTATCAAAAATGACCATGTAAAATTTCAAGTCTCAAAGATGGCCATAACAATGTTTTTTTTGGCCAGAACTGGTCTAAAAATTGAAAAAAAAAAAAAAATGGCCGAAAATGAAAGTGACAAACCGGAAACAGTATTATTTAACAATGGTTGACAGATAAGAAAGCCCAAGAAATTTTATAATGCTTAAAGCAATCAAGTTCCATCTTAATTAATATTAGGTTTTATTGTAATATCTATACAATAATAGACATATTAACTAATATTTTATCAGATATTGCTCCATTTAAAACTAAATCATAATTTTTATTGTAAAATTGCCTCTGTTATATTTCCTGTTTTAAACTAAATTACGTTTGGTCTTAATTTTTTTTAGATTATTTTTTAAAGTTTTTTTTTAAAGTTTTTTTTATGACATTAAAAAATATTTAAAAAATATTCTATTTAATTTTTTTTAGTTTTTAAAGCAACAAAGATGTTGATAATATAATGATGAACACTTCTGGAAAGTTTCATAATATTTGTTCACTCTGCTGTAAAGTTATCAGCCTTTTCGTGAAAAATTTTTGAAAAGAGGTCACAAATGTCTATGTTAAAAAAAGTGAGTTTTTATTCACCGCGGCGGTGTACCTAGCGAAACTATTGACTTTGGCCTGCGTACACCGCGGCGGTGTACCTAGCTAAATCATGGTCTGTGGCCTGCGTACACCGCAGCGATTTTAAGTAGCAAAACTATGGTCTTTGGGAGTCTTTAACTTTTTGGCCTAACCGGTACTTGTAGATTTAATGTTATACTCGTGTTAAAACTGAAATCTATTTATTTAAAAATCGTTTAGTACTATGGGAGGAGGATATTGATTAAGTTCCACGCTTATGTGGCAAAGTACTTGTAGAGCATTTCTTCTTATTTTTTTTTGGAAGTGTAATGTTAAACCATGATTTATTTTTGAAGGTAACCACTTTATTCTCCCCCCCCCCTTCCCTCCCCAATATATTGAAATACAAATATATTTATGTATTGTAAGTTTTATCATATGATTGTGAATCTTAATAGGCATAAAAAGGGTAGCTAATTTGTTTGGGGGGGGGGGGCATTATAAATATAACATTGTATGTGATCCCTCGGGGCGTGGTGTAAAAATGAATGAGAAAGCCAGTGAATCTATTTTGTTAGCACCAAGATATAATTACGACACAAATACACTACGGGAAAAGAATCACATGGTCATACATTGATCATGAAGTCGTGAAGTTAAAGTTGTCCGAGGCATTGTCATTGTGATACCAAGCATGTGTCAACACAAAACAATAGTATGATGATAAATACGAAACACTGCAGTGATTTTTAAAGTCTTTTAACAATAATTAAATATCATTGATTTAAATTTTACATTGGCATTACACGTTAGTAAATAATGCCGGCGGAGGGGGGGGTGATGCAAAAGGTAAGTTTGTTGTGCGGACGTCCTTTGGGGACAACCCTTATCCAGAGCCGTGGATTGTGTAGGCCCTTTTTTTGGTTAAGCCTCTGCCCATAACTCACCCCCCCCCCACCGGCAAGGATCGATTTCTTAACAAAAAAACAACAAATACAAAAACTTTGACATAGCGCAGATCCTGTCCCAAGCCCAATGTGCAATGGTTTCTGTGAGAAAACGTCGTGTTTTACCCTGAGAATAGCACATGCCGCCATGCCATTCTGGAAACAAAGTCCGTCATGAAAAGGGTAAACGCAGAACTATTCCTATGGCTTTGCTATAGACGTAAGTTTCTAAAATCAAGGTGTTTTCAAAAGATTTGCTGTGAAACTGAGTGTTGTGAATGAACCTTTGATATCGTGTGTACATTTTGCCAATGCATAAGGCAAGACGAAAGCAAGATGGTTCAAGGTTGAAATACGACCATGCACAATAATGACATTAATATTCATACTCATATGATATTAATGATATACTGGTATTTTCTTTGGGTGTTCGTAAAAGTAAAATGTAAATATTCAACTACACGAAGATTGTTGAAATACAATAGGATATCACTTAGTATTCAAAATGTTTCTGTTATACATGTTACATACACTATACATGCGCTTTCAGAAACTTTAAGTTTATTTTCTAATGTCTAAATGTCTTATTACTAAATTTACCGGTATTTTCAAAGTCAAAGGCCGGCACAACTTGTTGAAACACTATAATATATATATATATATATATATATAATATAATACAATATTTAAAAATATGTTTAAATTGTTTAATTTGCTACAAAATATTTTAAAACTAAAATAGGAGGAACAAAAACTCGATCCCCTACTGGGAATTGATCTCGAAATATATTAACGCCAAGCGTTAAAAATGAGTCTGCATGCTGAGTTCTGTGCCTTCTGAAGTTTTTCTATGTGGTGTTGAGGAATGCCTGAGAGAAGAATGTTACAGTAGTCAAATTTTGAAAGAATGAGTGAAGAGACGAGAGTTTTGTGGCATCAAAGGAGAGGAGGTGTCTAATGGTGCTGATTTTTCTAATTTCGTTATATGCTGATCTGCATATATTCGTGACATGTTTCTCCATGGAGAATTTCTCCTAGTCCTAGTAATTAATATTAGTTAATAATAATAGTAATAGTAAGTAATAGACATATTCTTCACATAGTACAGTACTTCCTATTCCTATGGCTTTGCTATAGACATAAGTTTCTAAAATCGAGGTGTTTTCAAAAGATTTGCTGTGAAACTGAGTGTTGTGAATGAACCTTTGATATCGTGTGTACATTTTGCCAATGCATAAGGCAAGACGAAAGCAAGATGGTTCAAGGTTGAAATACGACCATGCACAATAATGACATTAATATTCATACTCATATGATATTAATGATATACTGGTATTTTCTTTGGGTGTTCGTAAAAGTAAAATGTAAATATTCAACTACACGAAGATTGTTGAAATACAATAGGATATCACTTAGTATTCAAAATGTTTCTGTTATACATGTTACATACACTATACATGCGCTTTCAGAAACTTTAAGTTTATTTTCTAATGTCTAAATGTCTTATTACTAAATTTACCGGTATTTTCAAAGTCAAAGGCCGGCACAACTTGTTGAAACACTATAATATATATATATATATATATATATAATATAATACAATATTTAAAAATATGTTTAAATTGTTTAATTTGCTACAAAATATTTTAAAACTAAAATAGGAGGAACAAAAACTCGATCCCCTACTGGGAATTGATCTCGAAATATATTAACGCCAAGCGTCCACTCTACCACTTGACCACACAAGATCTGCAAATACAAGTATATCTTAAAAGAAGACCAATGGTACATTTTTGCCGCGGTGTACCCAGGCCAAAGCCCACGATTTCGCTAGATACACCGCCGCGGTTTACGCAGGCCAAAGCCGATGGTTTTGCTAGGTACACCGCCGCGGTGTACGCATCCACTTCGCGAAAAAAATCATAACTTTTTAACCAAAAGTGCTACATGAAAAATGAAAACATATTATTACTTCATTTAACAAGAGCTATCTTACAGGTGTGTTCATTTTTTAATTTATTCAATTTGAAAATTTTATCCAAGTACCTACCATTGGTTTATTTTTACAAAATGTTTAAATTTTTTACCAAAGTATCTAGTAAGTAACTTCTTAAGTAAGTGTTAAGTCAAGTTAAAGTTAAGTGTAGTAAAAATAGATATGCCTGGCCTAAACTACTAAACTATACCTCAGTTAGATAATAAAAAGTATTACCTATACCAGTAATAATACAATGACTTAGGTAGGCGCAATGTTAAATTTTAGTAATGTTTCCAGAAGCAAATAATGTAAATTATTCAATGTCCTGTGGAAACCCATGTAGTTACTTCTGTTAAGGGCGCAGCCATTTTGGTGTTAAGATTAAAAACTATAATCGAAATTAGAATTTCATTTTTACCTGGAACTAACCAAATCAAATTTACATATTACATAAATAAATACAACGAGAAATTTTACTTTTAATTTTAAAAAAACATATTTTACATCCACATGAATTAATTTTGTTCTAATTTTTTTTTAAATAACTTATACAAATCAAAGTCAATATTAACACATTTTCTTAACTTACTACTTCAACTTTTATAAAATTAAAAGCTGAAAATAAACATAAAATACATTTTTAAACTCTAAATAGCAGGTAAATTAATTTTTCCTCCTAATTAATTTTTAAAAAGAAATATTGAATGTAATTTTGATTTACTTTCTTTATTTGAAATAATTACCTTCACAATTCTTTATAATGTCTTGACCTAATTGATCTCTACCAATTAAAAACTTGTAGATAGACAAAAATAAACGACTTTTTACAGTAATAGTAATAGTCTTTTGTTTACATGTTATGGTACCGACTTGTTATGCGTTGGTGCTAGAAAATAAGGGAAGCTAATTTAGAATTTCAATTTAATGAATACCCCTTCGCGTATAAAGCATAAGTGTTTAAAGAGGTACAGCTCTGTTAATGTATTACTTTTTTTGCTTTTTTATTATGGAAATTCACAAGTGAATGAAGTAGTAGGTTGCAGGCACTCTGCTGCACGCAAGTTCAGACTTGCTTATTTTATTTTTATTTTAATTATTAAATCGAAGTGCCTATTGTCTTACAAACCCAACAATAATATTTTAAATAGTTTTTTAGGCTTATTGAAAAGATGAATGCCATGGCGTCTTTTGGTTGTTTATTATATTTGCATTGAATTAGGGTATATAAATTATAGTTTATATTATAGTTATAGGGTTCAGGTTCGGTTAGGCATAGTATTGGGATCGATTTAGGGATACATTCGTGAGATTCGATAAAATAGTGGCATTCGTCCGTTAAATTTACTGATTTTTAATCTCAACCTCTCACTTCTGGTACCCAGGTATGAATATTTGCAGCCTTATTATATTTCACATGGAAAACATGATATAATTATAGATCTATCATCATGTGATATTGTCATTTATGTTTATTGTCTTAGTCTATAATATTAGACATTGATTGTGATTAATGGTACCCACTTAGTAGATTATAATACTTCATTTAAAAAGTCATAGCTTTACTTTGGTTGATTTTGGGTTGCGGTAAAAGGTCAGCGATGTGTTCCACTGTATATTATATAGGTGACGAAGGTTCCCCCATTTCCACTTCTGTCTGCAGCACCGTCCACAGTGCCGTACTAAAAAGATTTTGAAGTTTGTATCCACATAATGCAAGTTATTGTTTTCTTATTTTATATAATTTTTTTTTAATTGGGGAGGGGGTCTTTGTTTCTTATTTTGGTATTTAAAGTGGGGGTGAGGGAGACCCCCTCCCCGTCCCTAGAAGATAATTCCAAATGCAATTTAAGCAGTAGTCTCCCTTTTGTTACCGAAGTTTTAACATACAGGTATTTTAATTTTCAACGAATCAAAATACATCACTTTTGGCACACGCCTCTTTTCACCAGTATTGGGTCTTTGGGTATAAGCAAGGATGTGTTTCTTTTTTCCTTTCTTTTGAAACATTTAAGTTGAATTTTAATAAAAATTAATGGAAAATTTCATTTTAATATACTTCATATTAACCGTATCGTTTATGGCGCGAGTAATTCTCAATAAAGAACAGGAATGTTATCACACACATCGTTGGGGTGCTACAATTAATAGGTCTATTCACCCGAAGTCCAGTGTTGGGATTTCCCCAAGTGACGCCACTGCGCTTAGGGTGAGACCACTCTTAGCAAAACCCATACCGTTAACCCAAAATTTACCCTTTACTTTACCTTTTAAGATTCTTATTTTATTGAAATGGAAATGTGTTTTGATTATGATTAGGCTACGTTGTAAATATTCTTTTGAGTAGCTCGTAAATAATAATATTTCCTTTTCCAGGTCTTGTCTCAATATTTTATCAATGTTTGGGCCCTTGATAAAGTGCACATTTTTGCATGAGTTATAAACAAATAAATACTTGAGGTGCCATGGACTACAACAGACATTCAATCAAACAAGTTCCCATTAATGTGAGTTTTACTGAAGCGATGAATGCTTTACAAATATTTTAAATAGACTGGATCATTAATTCTATTTACAAATAGAGTCTTCATTTACTAGTGTTCACAGTGTTTACTATATCCTTCTTTTCTCTTAGAATTCATCTTCCAATGACGAGGCTAAGACAGATTTATATGAAATTCTTTATGATGATGCGTGGAGATCAGAAGAATCTGATGGTAACTTTCTAATGTTCCAGTCAAATCCATTTATACATTTTTCATTAAATTAGCAGCAAATGCAAGATTTAATTTTCATAGTGAAATTGAGCCGTTGTTTAAAAGCACTTGATGATATTGGAATCAATGTCAAATTAATATGTATTCTTTACTCGGCTATTTATTTAGTGTGATTTGCATACTGAAAGTATGCCTTTATGATTCATTATTTGTCAAAATAGATTATTTTAGTCTGATAATAAAATGCTTAGTAACAATGATATGTTTTAAATCTAATCAGCTGCAAGTCTGTATGAAGTACCAGCAGATTATATTGAGTATATAAGACATAGCGGCAAAGACAGTGGCTGTGAAGATCCAGTGAATAGTGCCATAGCTGAGGTTTCACATGATTTTCTGTCAGGATGTGGACCAATTGCTTCAAAGCAACACAATGGTGACAGTGATGAGTCTCACATCTCAACAGACACAGACTTTAAACTCATCAATGCCAGGGCTGCTTATGCTAGGTATCCAGAATCAGGCGGAGGACTCTCTGACAATGACTGGAATCCCTATGGCACAGAATCTGACACCAACTTAACTCCACGACTGCCAAGCAAAGATTTCATGAAATCATCTTTCTCTGGAATATCATCACACATCTCTTTCAATCCCCCACTCCACAGTACAGAGATGAATACGTTACCTGCCAATTGTGGTGGTTTAGGGCCTGTCACTGGCATGAGTGAAATTTATGAAGAGACAGAAATGAGCCCAGCAGTTACCTTGAAACCTGACATTACCTTGGATTTTTCTTCTATTTCGCATGTCTCAGAGAAGACCCTTAGCCCTATGAAGACATGGGACTCAAGCAAGCTGAATAATAAACTCAATGAAACCATGAGAGAAAAGAGCGCAACATCTGAGTTGGGCCTAAAGGATAGAAAAAAACAGGAAGCTAATGACGCTGATGTGCCCCATCTCAGAAGTGGGTTACAGAGCAAAGAAATCGGTGGTAGGATTTCAACTGGGAGTAGTCAGAAGGCCATGACTGATGGACAAAAATCATTACATGTAGATTCTTCAATGAGAAAATTCCAGACTTGTGGTGTGGGACAAGGCTGTGCAGCTATTAACTATGACCTGCTTCAGCGTGACCTACAGGAGATACAAGACAGCCTCTGGCGTACTCTAGGTCCAGACCCTCATCATGCTGGTCATCAGCAACCTCATGAAGTAGGTCAATGGTCAAGTAAAGAAACTCCAGACATTTCTGACAGTGACAGAGAAATTATTCCAAGTACTAACACCTCTCCCAACATTAGCACAGATAAGATCCAGTGGGCATTGATGACAGATCTAGATTACCACCAACAAAGGGAACACAATAAGAAGGCTATTAGTTCTCCTAACTATCAAGGTCAAGGGCATTTTGGACATTCAGATGGGGATGAGACCCAAACCTCTGGTGGCAGTGACAAGATGGATGACCACGAAGCTGCCGACAGAGTCTTGGCCGAAATGTCAGAACTTCTTCAACCTGGGAACATTATTGACACCTGTAGTGATATTGATGAAGTAATGTCTAACTTAAGGAGTCACCGCAGAGAGGTAAAATCTGGCTACAAACAACTTAATAACCAAGGCCTTGCTGAAAAAGTTTTTCGAATTTTAGCTGATCAAGATCCAGAAATTCAGGCTGATGTTATTTTGACTGAAGTCAGTGAGGAGGAAAAAGACATGAGGGTTAAATATGCCCTTCAGCTCCATAACAAGGATTTCAACTTTTCTTCATCTTCAGACATAAATAGACATCCCTTAATTCTTGGAGATGATGTGCGAAAGAAGCTAGATTTGTCAAATTTGAGTTCTGAAGACACAAGCATGTTAACCAACAAATCATTCCTCCCAAGACCTAGAGGCTTCAATGCTTTTGATGGCATGACCCAGTTTCTTTCATCACAGATGCACAGAGCAGCAGAAAGGACATTTAACCACAGCTTGGACATGCAGTTACCTCCACAGGTCATTCAGTGCTACCCTCTGGTTGGTTATGAGAGAGCTCAAGGTGAAGGCCAAAGTCACTCAGTAGGTCAGGACCAACAAGATGAGGCTGATGGTAACAGATCTCAAGCTGCCAAGCCATCAAGGTAGGCTCAATATTTATTGCTTTTGTTTTAATAGCAGAGACAAGAAATAGAACTTCAAAATGTATGAGTTTCACACTTAAAAATTTACAAATAATTAGTTTTTTGTGTTATTTAATACAAAGTTGAATTCTCTTTAAAATGTAAATAATTTCATTGAGAAAGTTACATTTGTATTGCAATATAGTTGCACTTTGAGGTGATTTTTTCATGAGTATTGCAAGAGGACATGAGAAGTGTATGGCATATAGATTACCACTGGTAGAATTCCAAACTTTCCAAAACTTGTCACACAGAACTGCACTCAAAACACATCTATTTAAACTATACTACTCTGACTGATTCTCCTCCTATAAACCGATAAACGTACATGGGTTTCCTTGTAAAAATGTCTGGTGTGGGTGGATGAATATACCTATGGTGTTGTTTTGCTTATATGTTGTTTTTATTTCATTTATGTATTTTATTTTAATATTATGATTATGCCTCTTTGCTATATATGTACAGCGTGGTGAGCCCAGCCCTAGGCTGGGGTACCGCGCTATATAAGACCACTTATTATTATTATTATTAGATTATAAAAGGCGAAAATAATAACTTACTGTTCTTGTCTTTATATTATTTCACCATCAGCCAAAGAGGAAATGAAGATGTTGCAATAGCTGATGGACAAGGAGATATACAAGATGCCAACAACGGGAAATTGTAAGTTAAAGAAGTGTAACTATTTGGAAGAAATTATGTAATTATTATAATGTTATGAAAGAAATACATACAATTTTTAACAAAATTAGTGTATTGTTTTTTTTCTTTGTATAAAATTGAGCAGCCGTTGTGCTGGTGCTGATAAAGTGTGGATCTAACTAATTTATTTTTATCTACAGATCTTCAAGGGCTGACCAACCTTATCATCCCTCACAGCAACTATACGAAGGTAACATCAGCTGTTGCTGTCTATCAAAGCTATATCTTTTTAACGATTATGAATTTAATTCATCTATACATGCAGTTTTCTCCATGGATCTAAGTGTTCATAATTGTAAGAAGAAGCATTTCTAAGAAATGAAAAGGATTGATCCCTAACTTTGTCATTGACTTGTTTCTTTTGCTGCTTGTAATCAAGAAATTGTTTACAACTTATATCTTTATCTGAATGATTGACAAATTGGAGCTTAGGTTTTACAATGAACCATATCAAAATTCATCTCTTTCTTTTTCCCTGTCTCTGTCCACCAGGACAACATAACAATAACCACTGTGAGACCTCTTCACCACCAGACTCAGACTCAAGTACTGGAAGATGGAAAGACAAGTACAGGCCTTACAAGTAATCATTTCTCACCATAATAAGGGTCCCCATGCAGTCGGGAAAATAGGAAATAGTCTGGAATTCATTGAATAATTTTCCCGGCCATGAAAACCGGGAAAAAGGGCCTTCTAGGAAGGAAATTTTCCGTCTAGTTGGGAATTTTTTAATTTTTAAAAATCAATAATGAATTTGGATTCCATAAAAATTGACGTTAATCGCAGATCTCGTCTGTTGTTAGCCTTTCTGTTATCAAAAGGACTTTGTCAATATGCTAGTGGTTTCCCCTTAATTGCGCATGAGTTTTGAGCACTACAAGTTTCGAATACCGTACTACTACAACTTCGATAAACCAGAAATATTTCTTTTCTGTTCACATCGCTGATCAAGAAATATTTGACTGTTTGGGTAAGTAAAGTGTAAAATATAGTAAATAATTATTTGAATTTTGTTTTCAATTGTGAGGTAACCATTATAAATTTTAAATAGAAAACTACTCGCTCAAGCCCTGTCTAAATTGACTAAGCTTAGCACTTAGCTTACTTTGCTGTCTTAGTCTTAATTAGTTGATTTTTATAAGTTTTACACTATGTAGTGGACATGTAATTTTCATTAGAGCTAGGCAGCCTTTAACTTTTGTAAAGACTTCTAAGTTCACTTTACATTTAATTATGGAGTAGGGCCTCTAAATTTAAATAGGCCAGTGTGATTAAGTTATTTGTGATATTATTTTTGCATAGATTAGTTAACCAGTGTACTGCTTACTTCGGAACTTCATTTAAAAGTTATCAAAAATAGTTGATTTGACTTGATGCATCGATTCAGTGAGCCTAACATTGACTAACATAACTGTATATAGTTTGTCTTTATTTATAGTTATAAGTAATGCACTCCTGTGCTCTGGGTATACTTAACGGTATTATACTATTATTCACAAGCACATTGGTGTACGCAAGGGTTTTTTGTGGTGTTTTTTTGGGGGGACTTAGAGACACAAAAGAAGGGTTGGAAAGGGGGGGGGGGGTTCCAATTGATGCGACCATTCCCCTGCGGCAAATCCTGACTATGCTGTTTCATGTGCATATGCCTTAGTATCTCTTCTGACTCTGTATTACAGTAGTTTAGTACGAGTATAATATAGTCTATATAATGTTTTTGTATGCATACTATAAATTATAAATCTAATATGAAAATATATTTTATTTTGTTTCACTATTCAGGATCTAGGCTCAATAAAATAATGCCCAACAGTTCCATTAAAGACTGATGCAAATGTTGGTATCAAGTGTTCACAGGGAAAATGTTTAAAAATGTCAGTCATCTGATGAGACTCCATCTTTATCACCTATCTTAGGTGTCCACTTTTGCAACTTCTCAGTCAAGCTCCCAATTTATGTGTCAAAAATATGAAACCCTCTTTGGAGAGATTTTATAGACACTAAAGTGTATGGACTCAAACTATTCATTTTCATCACAAAAAAGTGAACAGTAACTCCATATAAAAAAATATGCTTTCCACTTGTGGTAGCTGTACGTATGTTCTAAAATGCCCCGGAGAACACATTGCAAATGTTGCCCTTGCACTTTAAAAGTAAACATCAACAATTTTTCAAGTCTAAGTAAATTGAAAAATTGCAATTGCTAGGAAATTTAATAAATATTTACATGTATATACCTTTACTGCCTGATTTAGTTCATTTGTGTTGTAAGTCAATTTTGCTTTACTTAGACGATTTCATAGTTTCATGATTTTAATTTTTTTTAAACGCTGCATTGTGACAGTCAGGAATTTGTATGTTTTCAGTTGTGAAAAAGTAGGGATTTTGTTTTTTTAGAAGAGTGGGAACCCGGCATAATGATAACAATAGTCACACAATTCTAAACACATGTTCAAGATAACTGAAATCAGCTATTTTCAACCTTTTATGAGCAATCTCAGATGTTGAAGTGTATCACCTTAAGGGGAGGTGTGGGTGAAAAATTTCAAACATTGAATATTTTTTATTATTTTTTTTATTTGGTTTCATTAACCTTTTCATTATCAAATTACTCGTAATTGTGATGCAAAAATAATTCAGAAAAGATAATAAAATACAATTTTCCTGACCTTGTCAATCAGCAAAAAGTCAAATTTGCCCTACAATGCAGTGCTTTTTCCCCTGTGTTATGTTAGTATATATTTGGAACACTCTTCCTATCGCTATCAGAAACAGCCAGACCCTGAAGTCTTTCAAAACTGATTTGATTTGAAGACTTATCTTTTTCGCAAACACCTGCTGAGATGATGTTGTCTATCTAGCTATTATCTTTTAGATGTATATTGGCCTGTGTTGTATATGGTTGCAAGGTATGAAAGACTTAAAATGGGTATTCTTGTATGTAGTTTTGTAATGTTGAATTTTGTACTTCAATGCTGTATGTACAGCGCTTCGAGCCTTTGGGGATAAAGGGTGATTTTTAAATAATCTTTATTATTTATTATTATTATTAGGCATTGCCTAGGCCCAGTGTATTTGGCATTGTCCATGCCCAGTGTATTTGGCATGGTTGGGAAGCTGGTTATGTCCAGTTTTAGATAAAAATAGCTTTTCGTCATAATGAAAATTACGAAAGCAGCCTGACATTTAAATTGCCTGTAAATTCTATATAAATAGGGTATGTTCCTGTCCTACTTGGTATATCACATGATCCAGCTGTGACCTTTGAATAAAAGAATCATTTTGATTGGTTACAATGTCAGTATGTTCAGTGACCAATAATAAACATTAGAGACCAATCAAATTTTTTAGATTTTTCACCCTCACCTCCCATTAAAAGTCCTAGTTTTACCAGGAGGGTGGCGGGGAGGAGGGGGTGGTTATACTTTGAGTTAAATAATTAATTCCTATGAACCTTTTTACAAGCATAAATTTTATTGAGGATTTTTTTTTATGCGCTTTTTCATATCTTACTTATCGTGTCACCATCTATTATGTAAATATCTCTTATAATTCTAAGCTTTTGTCCAATAGACCACCAGGTTCCAGTGACGTTTATTACACCGAAAGTGATGCAGTGTCTGTGGCAGACAGTGTAACGACTGTTGAGAGCACTCACTTAGGTACGTATTAGTTTGGGTGGGTTTTTTTATCTGTCAGGTGATTAATATTAATTTAGTTAACTGTTGCGCTCTCGTTGTCTTTTTTATTTTTCGGCTCCCATTTGTGTTTCGGAATATTCGGTTAAAATAGTCAGAAATGCTGTCAGGATACACAGGTTTTGTTCATCTTGTCTGATGGCACTTGAAACGAATCACTGTCAAAAAATTCTATGACCCCCCTTTCTATTCCAAGAAAATATGAGTGTTTATTCAATTGTGTCTTTGTCATCTTAGTTTGTTTATTTGCCTGGTAGGGTCAGATGATGCGAGGGGCCCAACTCTGCCGCAGTCCGCTTTGGGCAGCAGGAAAGACCCTCCCAAAGCCGCAGGTATCTATGGCAATCGTAAACATTCAGAGGAAGCCATTGTTTTGACCCCCATTCAAGAAAAACCTGGAATGGTAATTATCACAATAACATAAATAAAAAAAATGTTTAAGAATTGAAATGTGTTATCTCTTTACCTTTATCAGCTTTTAAAACAGTGGCATTAGAAATATAACGTTTTTTTAAAAAGTGGCTTTAGAAATATAACGTTTTTTTAAAACAGTGGCATTAGATATATAACGTTTTTTTAAAAAGTGGCTTTAGAAATATAACGTTTTTTTAAAACAGTGGCATTAGATATATAACGTTTTTTTAAAACAGTGGCATTAGAAATATAACGTTTTTTTAAAACAGTGGCATTAGATATATAACGTTTTTTTAAAACAGTGGCATTAGAAATATAACGTTTTTTTAAAAAGTGGCTTTAGAAATATAACGTTTTTTTAAAACAGTGGCATTAGAAATATAAAGTTTTTTTAAAAAGTGGCTTTAGAAATATAACGTTTTTTTAAAACAGTGGCATTAGAAATATAACGTTTTTTTAAAAAGTGGCTTTAGAAATATAACGTTTTTTTAAAACAGTGGCATTAGATATATAACGTTTTTTAAAACAGTGGCATTAGAAATATAACGTTTTTTTAAAACAGTGGCATTAGAAATATAACGTTTTTTTAAAAAGTGGCTTTAGAAATATCAGCTTTTAAAACAGTGGCATTAGATATATAACGTTTTTTTAAAAAGTGGCTTTAGAAATATCACCTTTTAAAACAGTGGCATTAGATATATCAACTTTTAAAACAGTGGCATTAGAAATATCACCTTTTTTAAAACAATGGCATTTGATATATCACCTTTTAAAACAGTGAAATTAGAAATATCACCTTTTTTAAAACAATGGCATTTGATATATCACCTTTTAAAACAGTGAAATTAGATTATCAACTTTAAAACAGTGGCATTTGATATATCATCTTTCAAAACAGTGGTGTTTGATTTATCAGCTTTTCCAAAATTAATTATGTATTTTGTTCCATTTACTTTCACTTCTTTTTGAAGTAAATATTTTCCATTTCAAGGGTAATGAAACAAGGAGTTATGAAAGAATGTTTGAATCAAATTTAAGATGAAATGGGTTGGATATATTCATAAAGGAATTTCATAGGAAGTTCAGACAATTTGATAACAGTTTCTTTACAAGACTGTCATTTTAAAATACTTAAAATTGTGTGTTTTATAGTTAATATTTTGATTTAGCTTTTAAATTTCTATTTCAATTGATCTGAAAATCAAGACTTGGAATATCAGATAAAAAAAGATATTGATTGTTTTCTGTCTGTAATATCATTTTTTCATGCACAGAAATCACACAAAAATGTGTCTGTAGGCAAGAGTTAACAAGTTGGGGGGAAGCTTGATTTATGCAATAACCATTTCTGGATACTTTTGAGAAATACCTTCTTTAGCACACAAAAGTTATATATTTGATTTAAATAAATATCAATGATATAATAAATATATTGTTATATTTAAGAAGAATGATAATAACGTGACTTATAAAATCATATAAGCCACTGATGAAGGGGTTTGCCAAATTTTTCTGTCATGAATAAAGATCAACAATCTTCTTGACCTACATTATTTCTGTCTTGTGGGGAGCCTAACCCTTGTCGCTTTACATAAGAATTAAATCTAGACATAAAAATATTCACTCATTTCCTGTAACTCAGTCGCGTATTTCACGTTCTCAATTCGCAGGATGACTCTGAACCTGTCGCCAAAGAAACCGTTGAAGAAGTGCCAAAGCAATCAGTTGGACTCGATGGGGAGAGATTCAAGCATGCAAGCAAATTGAATGAGCCAACAATGGAATCAAGAGGTGATACACGACTGGTCGCTGATGAAGTGTCGCCTAGAGTAGATGACTACCAGAAAACGATTACAATATCTAATAATCCTGCTCAAGTATTAAGGCATTGTGAGGAAGTTTCAAAATGCCAGGATGTTGCCAGTCTCGGTCAGAAAGAGGCTCACTTGTCTAAATGGCCTCTTGAGGGCAACAACAGCCACCCAGTCAGCAGAACACTGTACAGGAATCAACAAGATAACTCTAGTTGGAAGGAGAAAAGCGCTCTCAGAGCACAAAGCACATCTTCAGTGGCGAGAGGTCAATGTGAAAATGATTCAAGGCATGTCAGCACTAAAATCAAACCAGCAGATTCAACTGACCAATGTCTGTCATACACTCAAGAAGATTGGAAGTCAATAAAATATGAGACCAGGCATCAGATGGCATCTAATTCACAGCAGACTTCGCAGACCCCCGCCATCTCTCCAGCTTTCCACAGAGCTCTCTCGCCAGACCTGTTACAGGCCATAGGGAATCGATCCCCTTTGATTGGTAGTGCCATTGAGAAGTCTTTAGCTCGGCCTCCAGCTGTAAGTGCAAACAAACCCGTCACTGCTTCAAGAGAGCACGTTAAACAAAGTCAGCAAGGACCGCCAACATTCTTGGCCAGGGAGAGAAGTCAAGTTAGCCGAGAGATATCTCATAGTGCTTTGACTGCTCCACCAGTTATTCAAACTGTCAGCTATGCAGCAGGCAAACGTTCACAGAATTTTCACAGATTAGATGATGTACAAGAGACAAGATCTGCTGGACTCCAGAAGAAATCAGAAAGGTTTTATTTTGCTTCACTGTTTTAAATATTATTTCCACCCCCCAATTCTTGGGTTTATGGATCATAATAACATAATATGTTGTATATGTATTTCTAATTTTTTTTTAAAGTGACTTCATTTATTTTGACGTCCGGTAAAATAATATTGTTTTCTTTTCTTGAGGGAAAAAAAAAATAAGAGTTGCAGATTTGTAATTCAACAAATACATTTTATATGAAAATAACTTATAATTTTGTCCTCAATTTAAGTTTTGACTTAATGTGTTGCCAAAATATTTAACAGTCTTGTATTTGTGTCCAGAGATGTGGAGATAACTCTTGAGAACATGAGTTCTGACAGCCAGGATACAAGTGTGGACCACCACCCCATGACCCAGAGAGCCAAATTTTTGACCCAAGCCTTGGCGCAGGAGGAGGACATTCCTGTTAATATCAACCAACTTTGGGAGCAGTTCAAGGCCATGAACCAATCTCCAGAAAGTTCTATGAACAGCTCCAGGATGGAAGATGTGGCCGACTTGTTGAGGAATCCAGCTCGACATCACATTGCTCAGTACATGAAGGAACGGGAGGAGTATCGTATCCAGAGGCAGGACAGAAGTGAAAGAGAAAGGGAAAGGAAGCTGAAAGAGCATCAGCAGCTTGTCAAGTGGAATTCCCTCCCAGGGGAGCTAAGGAAGAGCTCAGAAGATGTTAGCTCAAACAAAGAAAATGAGAAAAATCGGCCTCGCAGGGAGAAAAAGAAACTCTCTCAAGATGGAGAGAAAGACAAAAATGGTAGTGGGCAGACCGCAGAAAGTCTTTTCTCCATTGCGGAAGATGCCAGCTTTGAAGTGTCCCCAAGTAAAGCCAACACAGCATCAAAGCAAGGAGTTCCTAGACAAAAGCATGTCATAGATCCCAACATGAATAAACTGAGAGATCGCATCTCAAAACAGAGGAAGTGGGTTGAAAAGGAAGAACTCAAGGAAATGCATCGAATGGACAAGCTGAGGAAACTTGAACGCTTGCTCCTGGCCAAGAAACAAGGAAAGATAAGTGATCAGAATTTTGATCATCATCTTGAGAATATTTCTTTATCAGCTTCCACCAGCACAGACAACTCTCAAGATGGTGGGCGTTACCTTCCAAGCCATAACACAACACCATTATCTGATGACAGTACCACAGCTAAAGACAGCAGCTCTGAAATGCTGACCTGGAAGGCTGAGAAACACAGGCGCATGAAAGAAATGTCTCAACAGAAGAAAGGTTATTCCAAACAGCACGGGAAAACCAAGTATCACAACTACACGGCTTCATCTAATCAGCAGAAACAGCTTCGTGCTGGCCGCACCAGTCCAGAAAGAGCCAAGCCATTGTTGAAACAAAAGAGAGCAGATTCTCCCCAAGACAGCTCATATGACGACCAGACTCCAAGAGCCTGGTCTGCCGATTTCAATGTCCACCACCCAGGTCGACCTCACAATCTGTACTCACCTTATTCAAGAACCCCGTTCTATTTGGATCATGTCCCAAAACTTAAGCTCTCACCCACCAGTAGGTCATCCAGTGAGGATCAAAGTGATTCACAGGAGAGCTACAAGACATTGGAGGCCAGCCATTACAAGACAAGATCAGCTGCTGACATGAAGCTGAAAACTGGAGTAAAACATCAGCGTAACAGACACAAGAAATTAGATTTTAGGGCAAGTGAAGATTACAGTTCAGAGAATGAACCACCAGGTCAGGATGAATCTTTTTCTAGCTTTCAAAATTAAATTTCTTAGAAGAGAAATCATGTTCCAAATGACAAACCTAGTAACAACATAGTGTGTTTCTTGTCAGAGATTTGGTTTAAATTGGTTGTATTAACAAATCTTGTGGGAATATTTAAAAAAACACTTTGGTCAAAAGTTTGTTTAAAATTAATTTCTTAACCAATTCTTTCAACACTAAGCATTATCCTGTGGATTTTCCCCAGCATCCCAACAAACTAGTGGAATAGCTTGGGACATACCATTGGATTCTAAACACCATCCTTCTAAACAACCCAAGGCCCTACCTTTGAAAGAAAGAATGATTCTTACCAATACAGGATTCCAAACAAAATCAGGTCAATCAAGGGAGACAACTTTGGCCACAAGTAGAGAAAAGGTCGCCTCTATTTGGGAGGTCAATGAGCATCCTGAGGGCATTCCGAGACGTGTCTGGGAAGATGTGAGTCATTTTGTTGTATGCGTTGCAAGCATGACTTAAATTCTTGATGCTAATCAATTTCATCTCTCTAGTGTAGTGATCTTAACTGTCTCTAATCTAAATGGCAAGACACAACATTAAACTTTGGCTAAATTGATGAGCTCAGTGTTGTGTTTATTGCCAATGGTTTGTATTGTTACATGAAGAATTTCCAACTTTTGTATATAAGGCAGAGTTGAGCATACTTGGACTAGTACACAGTAATTAGGATTTCTGAAGTAGATTTTTTAGTTAGCTAAGAATAATACTTTATAAGCATTCAAATATATTTGAATAAAATGTTGCAAATTATTCCCATTTCTGAATTTGTCAATTGAATACAATTATAATTTGTGGACCAATGATTGAAGGGAGTTGTTTAATATTTTCTAAAATAAACATTGCCATATCATGGAATCAGTGGCAACCTACAGTTCTGTCCCCATTCATGTCTGGCAGGAATATGCAAATAATCTTTAAATGCTGATTGTATTCGGGTAAGCCTATCTGTTTTTAGACCAGTTTCTTCATTCCATAAGTTGTTATCGATCTCCAGGTTGTCAATCAAGATCCCTTGGCTAGTAAAACAAACCACTGGGATGTGGATCCATTAATGGACAGGGTCCAGTACATCCTTGATAGAGGACCTCTGGGATGCAATGGGGAAGAGAGAGAAGATGGATTTTCACTACAGGTCAGATCACAATGTAGTTTGATTTTGGGAGGGTTTTTTTTACATTTTTTAAACTAAATTTGGAATTTTTCAGTGTAGTTAAAATAATTTTTGCTGTAAAACATTTGAGAAGTTACAAAGAATTACAGAGAATGTAAAAAAAAAATAATAATTATGAACTTTATTTGAAAATTCTTTATAGTGCTGTTTCACAAATGATTTTGAACAATTTGTTTAAAAGCAGCTTTTCTTAACTTAAAACAGTATATTATTAATAAAAATTTAATTGGACCTTTCAAATTAAATTGTTTACTTTCTCAAGAACTGACAATGTTATACTTTTCAGGAGGCATTCTTAGCACGTAAACAAGGTTTTATCTCCAAATGTAAGGAAAGACAAAAACGAATTGCACTGGCACGAGAGAGCAGGCATATGCAGGAATGCCTGCGGCTTGAACGTGAAGCCATCTTTGCAGATCAGGGACGAAATGTCCCAGCCAACCTTTATGCTCATCCTTACAGCGGTAAGTAATATAGCACACGTTTAGTTAAAATGAGCATATTTTGTTTTAAAAAGTCCTGGTAACCTAAAAATTGACTAACTGGATTGACGAAACATGTCATCTCAAAGATGATATACAATTTTGTGGATTGTCTTTATAATTTTTTTTTCAGATAATTTGTTTCAACCAAAGAGGAGAGTTCTCAGCAAGCAAGAAATGAAAGAGATTACCTTAAAGTAAGATATTGCATTATTTTTAGGGTCATCATTATACCTCATGGAATTAATAATACCTCATGGAATTCAGAATACCTCATGGAATTAAGAATACCTCATGGAATTAAGAATACCTCATGGAATTAAGAATACCTCAAGGAATTAAGAATACCTCATGGAATTCAGAATACCTCATACACAGAGATTTTTTGGTATCACAAAACAAGGGTCCAGTGCAACACAAAAACATTTAAAATATGATTTGATCAAACTTAGCCTTTTATAAAGATGCAGTAAATTTAGTTTGTCTCATGTCATGATCTCAAGTCTTTCAAACTTTTAGTCCACCCCCACACAACTCCCTTCTCTCTCCTTTCAAAATAAAAATCACACCATTATGGTCAATGTTAAAAAACACTAAGAAATTTAGAGTTTTTTTGTTGTTTTTTTTTTTTCAGGCGCTATAAAAAATTAGCAGAAGTCATAGAAAGAGAGGAAAAATCTAAACGTTCAGAAAATATTAAACTTAACAGGTTGCGAGTTCAAATCTTTAATAAGGTGAGTTGAAAAATATGCTTCAAACTTATTAAGTCAGCAGGATTTTTTTTTAAAATGCTGTGTTTGCAATGTTTTATTTACACCATTTGTTTGTGTCTTATTAATCTGATTGAAAGTCCTGCTACTTTGTGTTATGTTACCCAGATTTGGCAAGTGCTACCATGGCAGCAAGCACATTCAAATCAATTGGAATATTTAGCAGCATTAGTTATTACTAATAACAGTAAAATACCAAAAACGTTCACTTCATAATTATCATACTTTATCCTGGATCAAGTAATCGGATCATTGCCAATTTAACTTAAGTAAAATGCTTTACTTTAATTAAGCTATGCATTTGTTATTCTTTAACTTTAACCATTTATTTTAATATTTGACTTAATGGTCAGGCAAATTTATACTATATATATAAATATGTATATATATATATATATTTATATATATATGTACATATATTGTTTATAACAAGGTAAGGGGGAGGGGGCACTGTGGATGAGTTTATGGCACCAATGGGGCAATAGTCAAAAAAGTTTTTCAACCACTACTCTAAAGAAATAGCAGGAAAGGATGAACTGTTGAATATAACATCTTATCCTATTTTTATTTCCAGAAAGTGCAACAAGAAACGTTGCGAAAATGTTGTATGAGACAGCGTTGAGAACCCTGTGCTTCCTTTTCTGTTGGAGCAAAATATACTTATTTCTTTGTACACTGGATGACAAGAAATCTGCATGTGGAAGATTAATTTATATACATCACTATCCTCTTCTATGACTATAGCCATATGTAACTATTAAATTATAAATGTTCCATTCAATGAGTTACACTAACATGGAATTTATTAATATCATTAATATAGTTAATAAAACTTGTATATAATATTCAGTTTGAGAGTAACTTTTGGCTTATTCTGGTATTGAAGGTATTGGTTGAATGTAATGTTTAGTTTGTGGGTAACTTTTGGCTTCATCTGGGATTGAAGGTGTTTGGAAATTTTTATGAAACCAAGTAATGAACAAGAAACACCCAATTTTTTAAATTAAAAAAAATGTTTAGTCTTATTCCTATCCAAATCTACTTATCAAATATTATAATGTAGTTTAAATTATAGGACTGCAATTGACCATCAGCCTTCTTTCTTGTCCCAACTATCACAGCTGCAGATGAAGTTAAAAGACTATCAGAATATCATGTACAACCCACAATGCCCTAAATTTATTTTACACTGATAAAGCTCTCATGACTTGTTATGAGAAATGTGCTTAAGAGGTTATGTTGGAAGTTTAAGCAACAAAAATAGTACTCTCGCCAATAATGAACTTTGACAATGACATAAAACCTTACTAGCGTTTATTGAGTTCATCAAGACTGTGTCATTTAATATATTAAATTGTCATAACATAGTACTATTGGTACTGTCATCACTGAATTCATTTTAAATGTTGTCATCAAATGACTTTGTTAATAAATTACTATATAAATTAATGTTGTGGAAGATACGACTGACATGAATGTACGCAAAAATCCTGAGCACTAACCAAATGTCGATGTCTCTATTTAATGCCTTTAAACACTATTTTAATTTATTATTATTATTATTATTTGCATTAGCTGCACACAATGTAAACAAATTGTCTGTCTCACCTTCATCTGTGAACCAAAATGAAATTATGCTTACTATTTATTTGGAACATTTTTAAAATCAATAGTAGATATTACACAAAGAAATCCAAAAGTACTGAGGTTTGCATAAATGAGTACCAACAGTACTGAGGTTTGCATTAATGACTACCAACAGTACTGAGGTTTGTATAAATGACTACCAACAGTACTGAGGTTTGCATTAATGACTATAAGAGGATGGTGATACTTAAAATGCCAATCATTAGCTTTTGTAATGTTCTCTCTAAGCTGTGAACTGTAGTAGAGCTCCACAAGTCAATACAATGTTCAGGAGAAATTGACATGCAAACATTGTTCCCATTTAAAGCTTATTCTAGGTCATTACATTGCAGTTAACTGTAAAAAAGAATAACTTGTTTGAAAACAGTAACTTTATCATAACATGTCTTAACACTATCTTGGCTGACAACAATGTTTTGGGGGTACACACCTTTTTATAGCTATTCCACAAATTGTCATTACTCCCAGATTTGTAAAATAGAGACAATATCTTCTGTCATGTCCTTATTTTTTTTTTTACCAAACATTAGTTTGATTTATCTAACATATTTTATGTACCATATCTGGTAGAATCCATGAGCCATTTAGATCAAGGTCTGTGATATTTTTGTGTGTAAAAATACTTTTATTACCTGCAATTAGTTTTAATAGTTCATTATTCACCAGCTGTTTGTATGACAGTTTTTTTACACCATCATTTGTCTAATAGCCTTCAACTAGTTAATAAACTGTTCAAGTCTATTCATGTGTCTGTGGACACTTTTTTTTATATGTATGTGATGTAGAATTAATTGTAAACAGAATCTTTATTTTATAAGTTAACCTTTTGGCCTTCTGTAGATTTTATTTTAATTCAGTTTTCAATTTTATTTAGTTTCCCAGGTATGAGAATCAGGAATATATTTCTTGGCACCGGCAGACCTACACAGCAATTTTTGTTAAAAATTAAAATACTAGCTATTTTACTTAATTAGACCTACATAGAGCAAAATAGTTTTTAAATACGGTAGTTAATCTTAATGCTACTCAAATCTGGTTCATTAAAGAAGAAATAAAACAAGGTGAGGCATAATCAAGGTCAAATTAAAATCTACATATTTAAACTTTATTTAAATCAAGTTTTTTCTGAGTATGAAAAAGGCAGGAAGTTTAAAAAAATAGTTGACATGAAAATTATCTCAAACATTGATAAAACACCAGAGATTGACAGGGTTGTCTGTCCCTCTGGATGTTGTACATTTTGAACAATGACATTCTGTACAGCAACATGTGTAAACACTTCCATAAAAGGAGAGAAAAACTTTTTTTGAGAGATAGAAATTTATATAACTTTTTTTTTATAGAGATCATCCTCTCAAAAAGTAAGAATGCATGCAAAGAGTCAGAATAACCATACTTGTCTTATTGCATATGATTTAAAACACAAATCAATCTCAAAGGATAGTATGTAGCCCAACAAATGTTTAAATGGTAATACTGCAGTGATGGTTTTGTTAATGTCAGTGGTGTGTTGAAGTTACTGTTCTACACCAGGAAATAACAGATATTTCAACTCCAAGCCACAAAATCAGACTTTCTTTCCTAATGACATGAAGCAAGATGGGGTATTTTTTTGAAGTGTTTATCTTCGATCTTTTTGCAATCAATTCAGCTTTAAGTTAGCAGTGGCTATATCATCTTGAGGAAGTCGTTTGATCTTGAGCTTCTCAAGCATACAATGATTATTTATAATTTAACTGAGAGAAGAAAAATTAACCCAAAAAAATGAAATTTAATACTTCACCTTAGTTTCTCAATATGCTCTGGTCAGAGACCACTAGCTCATGTATTACATATGTCATTTCACATTTGTTTAAGACCGTTGTAGCAGTCGAGCACAAAACACATTTGAAAGTTTGACAAAATAAAGATTAATGCGGATAAAAAAAAGAAAATTCTCTTGGAAACTCATAATTCTCTCATACAGTTTTACAGAACATAGAGGGAGAAAAAAACAACTATAAGGAACAGTAACTTTCCTGAGTGTTGGTTGCTATTATAATCTCATGTGGTAATTTTAAAAAAACAACAGAACAGTTCTTAGGTCCCATTAATCTATTCATCCAACACTTGACAAAGCAGATCATTCCTACACAGCAGATCTACTCCTGTAGCTTATGGCTGCATGTGACAAAGCATTTTCAAATCATTCATTTCATCCTGCATGCAAAGTCAATTATAAACTCAGGGTCAACATTTAAGGCAGTGAACTAATTGGCAGCTATTTTAAAGTTCCTGATTATCAATTTTCAAATAAAATAATAACAAATAATTAATAATAATGGGAAGCTGAATATAATAAATTCCTCTAAAAAGTTACGCCCTACCAAAATTTGTTTTCAGCTAAAACAAATGCGTTTAGATATATACAATTTCAGAAGCAGGCATATTTATAAGGACTGACAAAAATCACTACAATAAAATATCTTCTTTTGATACACGTCTAAGATTAATATAGGACATTTATTAAAGATTTTTTTTTAATAGACAAATGATCTTGTATAGGTCATTTATTCAAAAAAGTACTTGATTAAAGAAACAATTTCTCACCCTATCTTTAATTTTAATCCAAAGATCCTTTAGTAGACAACTAAATAGTCTTTACATTCCTAACTTACCACGGAGGTAGGAACTTAGTAATTACAAATGAAATATACTGCAACCTTTAAAAAAGGGGGAAAATGCTATTTGATTCATCTAGTAACCAATCATTCTTATTAGCAATGGTTGTTTCCACAATATCAGCAGTTTGGCTGTGTGTTAAAATCTCTTAAGTTCCAGTGATCCATAGCAGAATTTAAAAAATATTGAAAATAGTGGATTAAGTCAGGCCGTAAATACATCTTAAAAATGAAGAAAAATTAATCTAAAAATCATTTGAGAACATTTTTAAATAACTAACTAAAACTTATAATGCATTGAAAACAATAATTAAATATATAAATTTAAACCAGATAAATTAATACCATATCCTGGAAATGAAACTTCAAAATTGGTTAACTAATTTAATAAGCATACAAAAATCCTAGAAAAATCCATCATAATAAAATTTTCTTATTCATTTATTTACAATACAAACCATCCAAAACAAAGTGCCCGAATAAGATAGATCAACAAGAACATGTTGACAATCTCATTGTGAAATGAAGACAAATACTATTGTTATCACTTCATTGCCAACAAAGATAGAAATAGCATCAGAGAAAAGGCACACGAACACACAATTTTACAGTATTTACAGTAACTCTTTGGCAATTAACACTTGCTGTGCAATATAGCTGTTAGGGCAATACCACTAAATGTAAGATACATAATAACTCAGCAGATTGTACATTATAAAAATATTTCACAATAATCTAAAATTGATACATACTATGTACAGATAATGGAAGACTGTATTAAAGCAGTCCTTTAAACAACCAGTAATTATTAAAGTAGCTATCATTGGAGTTGATGTTCTCATCCTTAGAGACCTTTGTTGAAATAGACCACAGTTGGAGGGTTGGGCAGAGATTGAATTTTATCTCTAACAGCTGGTTCCAAATTCGCAACAGCCATGGAGCTAAAAAATAATAATTCATTATAATAATAATAATCAATTCCCTTTATTTTGAAATATTTTAAAACAAAATTAATGTCCTATATTTTGAAATATTATTAAAAAAAAATTAATTTCCTTATCTGCACACTGCTGAACATGACAATGATATAAAATTGCACACATAAGATTGCATTAAGTATTTGAAGTGTATATTAGAGAGTCAATCATCGTATCAGTATACTTCATATATACATAAATTGCAGCTGGTCAGCATAAAAAAAAGTAGACTAGCCAAACATTCCAGATAAATTCATCTTGTAAGACCAAATAAAACTCACCTTTTCTGTGGGAACAAAGCACAGCACAAGGGTGTGGCAAACACGAGTCTGAAATACATTTACCAAGTAGAATTAAATTGTAGATTTATTTTAAAATTCAAAATTGGACCCACTCACATGGGAATCATCAAGTAGTCCTGTTAGTCCATTTTAAAGCAAACAGGTAAAAAATTATCATGATCTTTTTCTTTTTTTCTCCAGTTCCTTCATTTCAAGGATAGCGCTCTTCTTAAATTTGTACAACCAAAATGCATCCTTTCAAGACTCAACTTTAGATATGCTAAACATAATTAAGGGCACTTTTATATAAAGTCTCCATATCATATTGCTCTTGTTAGTTGTTGCCAGTAAATTTGTTAAATTTAATGTCACAAAGGGTTCAAAATAACATGTACTCACAGCACACCAATGAGGCCAACTTGAATTGGAGCATTAAGCCAAGGCATTCGTTTCATGAAGGATTTTTTCTCCAAGTTATTCATGATAAACGGGGGAATCACTGAAAGGAAACAAGTCATTGGATAAAATTATTGTCACACAATTTATTATTTTTTTTAAAAGAACTTGAAAAATTAGAATAATTTTAATAGAAACATAAGGAATGACTAAGGAACAAGACATGAAGAATATAACTATGAGACTGTGATAAAAAAAATAATCTAATAGATTCAATAAGAAATAATAAAAACTCACACATTCCAGGCATAGCCATGATAACTCTGGAGACTACCACTTGAGTTATAGCACTTGTTGCAGCACGAGTAGACTCTCCTACTCTGTTGCCATTTTCATCTAGAATAGGTATGCCATGGGTGATTTCCCTGGAAGCAGATTCAATGGCATTCTGTTAAATGAGTATCTCCATTTTACCACAATTTTTAACATTTTTAAAAAGTTAATTTTGACTTTAATTTACCAATATAATAATCCAAGCACAGAGTTTTGCCACAATTTTCGGGAGTTATTAATTACTTGGTTCAACCATTCCAATTATATACTAAAATACAAAGGAATGGGTGATGAAGAATAAAAATATTCTACAAGAATGAATGACAATATCAAATTTTAAGTTTCACTCAGTGATAATGCTCATTAGTATTTTATTTAGGTGGCTAATACATTTAAATAGCTAAAATTTTTGGGGAGAAAACATATGTTATATTACCTGCTTCTCATGAAAGGAATGTTGATACAATTGGCTGCAGCAACTGCAGCAAAGGGCACAAAGCGACCAATTATTGGAGGGAATTTCTGAAATTATAAATAATATTGAACATATAAATATTGTGTTCCTGCAAATGTCAGCATTAGAGTTTATTATTAGAAAATAGAAAAAATATTCAGCCTCGGATGTTATTATGATACAAAAATATTTAAAAAATAAATGAAAAAGTATTCCATGTAAAAAAACAAACTAGCACACATGAATATTTAGCATGGAAATTATCAGAAATGTGCGTTTATCAATAAGAGCGCATCACAAAGACAGCTTAAACCAAATTTCTAATATTTTAGTACATGAACATACCTTGACCATGTTGTTAAGAGTTAAAGCAGTTGTGACAGCACCACCGGTAGCAAGCACATACGAAACTCCCAGCTGCCTGAAATCAATAATTTAAACGAAAACTGTATCATTCATTAATACACAATAACAACATTTTATAAGCGAGAGCTCAATTACAATTTTTATCATAACAATTGTCAGCTTGCTCAAACACCGCTTAAAATATTAAATGCACTTACTTTGGTGATATTGGTGAGTCTCCACTGCGATTGGTGTAATTCACTACAGCATTAAATGTCTGGTTAAACCATTGCCAGAATATCACTGCTGGAGTAGTCCTGATAGTGTAGTACAGTTTTTATAATTTTACAATGTCATAGAGATAGCATATATATAGGAATCAATAAATTTGAAAGCAGTGGACATATGCAATTAGTTCTTTACATGTTTTCTTTATTAAGAATGGCTCAAACATCTTAAGGAAGGAGCACACAGAATGATAAAGCGTTAAAAACTACATCAACTTGAATTTCCTTTGATTAATCTCATAATCTGTCTTCCTAGCTAAATCCAATTCAGGAGTGCTGCTACAATATTTAGTGATTCCCCTTATAAGTTGCAGTCATTATAAAGGGAATATAGTTAAGAAGATGTTGATCTCCATTATACCCTTCTATTACCCTAGATGTAAAGTGGCCTGTGTTGTTTATGGTTTCAAGGGATGAAAGACTTAGAATGGGTATTCTCGTTTGTAGTTTTTATAATGTTGCGTTTTGTATTTCAATGTGGTAAAATATAGATTGTTTCATTTCTTTTTTAATATGGATGACTTTGTACCACGCTTCGAGCCTTTGGGGATGAAGCGTGATTTTCAAATAGGCTTTATTATATTATTATTTCAGCTTTTAATTTATTAGCATATAAATTATAATGTAAAAAAATTAAAAAATTATTCCAAATTTTAAGAATATCATAAATTTACCACATTGTACAAAGAAGCAAGTTGATTTAATAAAGAAGACATGTAACATTTACGTCAGATATCAGTGAAACAATTTTCTACTTAAGTTTTTATAGATCTTAATTTGGGGCAAATGTTGAGAACGAAATGAACAATGTTGATAATAAATTTATATTTACCCTAACATATCAGGTCCATAATACCCACACATATAACAGCCCCATTAATATAGTAAAACTTGTGAATAGCACACCTTGAACCTTGAAATAGTCCCAATGCTGCCAAATGCACTTACCAATGACCAATGGAACGGATTGATTACCCGTGAAATTAGCGCAAAATCTTTCATATTATTTTTATTATTACAGTGAGCCTAGGTCTGGGCTCACGGCGCTTCACATAAAATATTGGCAATAATAAACATGACATTAAAACAGTTACAAACATTTATTTAAGTTAATTTTTTTAAACAGCTTAATAAGAAAAGAAAGAAAAACAATTCAAACACACGCACACACACACACACCCCCCTCCCCAAACTCTTTACATGTCAAGCCATGGATAGCACCCAGCAGCATTGTTTATCGGTCAGAGGGGGGTGGGAATCAGTCGGGATAACATAATATGCAAAACAAGTAAAGGTATTTGAGGAACAAAATGGTGTTTTTAACAGTGAATAGAACATGCCATGCCACCCAAATACCTCATGCACAGGAAGTGACAGCAATCTTTTGATTCACTAATCAGTCCGCTACCTTATTGTGTTTTTCTAACCTCAGGATGGAACAATGTGTTGTCAGGGTGTGTCAACACATTCGCTTCAATAATGAGGGTTGTGAATGAACTGTGTGAATCGTGTGTACAACTGGCCAATGTACAATGAAAGCAAGACAATCTTAACAGACTTGTTAATTACTGTACACATAGGCCTACTTGTTGATATAAATGAGCTGCAAGCAGAATGCTTAAGCGCAATAAAATCTTGCCCAGTTTCATACTCGTTATATGGTTATTTACATGCAAGTAATTGTTTGCGCTTTCTGTTTTGTTTACTCATTTCTTCTAATTTTCCATGTGCATTTGTCTTTTTATTTCAAATTATTGTGCATGATTATCCTTGCAAATAGTGACACTTTTGGTTTGGTTTCAAGGGCTTGTGCTATTTACAGGTTTCACTTCATTAAATAAAATAATAATTTAAAATTTAAATGTCATAAAATTTGGCAATTTTTATCATTTGAGTGTAGGGAAACCTACTTATAAAATGTCATCATACACCCAGTGATGGTCATATTCATAGGAACCTGGGCTGACATTCTTCCAATGAGAAACATTTTTTCTTTAGTATCAGGATGAAATGCAGAGTCATAAAGGTGTTTAGCTTTCCATAGCTGGTCCTCTGTTAAATCAGAGATGACTTCGCCTTTCCTATGGAAAAATAATTTATAAACTTAAGAACAAGCAAACTAAAACAAAATTTCATTAAGTAACACATATCAAGAAATTTTTATGTCAATGACTAATGTGTGTCAAGTAATTTTGATATCCATGGCGATTGTACTTTTTGTTATCACTAGACACATGATATTTCTACAAACTGCAGCATCCTAAAATAAATTATACCATTAAGGTCTACTATTTTTTTAATAGCTCAAGGAAGGTACTTTTTTGAAATACCAACAACTGCAAAACGCTCTTAACCCCAATTAGATTCAAATTTTGTATTGAAAAGCCTACTTTTAGAGTGCCATCCATAAATACTAGCATGTTATACATTATGTTAACATTATATAAATTCTATACATTTATTTGACAATTAATATCTCAAATAATCCACAGCCTTGAGTGACAAGTAAAGGAGATTCATGCACACGTTTTATCATTGATAGCTAAATATGTTCGAATAGTGATGATCTATTTTGGTGGGAAAAAAATAAAATATTTTTTTTATTAAACTTTGACAAATACACTAAAACCCTGAATGCAACTAATTTATTTTTTGTAAAATGGACAACTGACCAACAAGTCTTTCACATGAAATTGATTTTACATGATAATAAAAGGACAATTATTTTAATATGAGCATTAAGTTTAAAAAATAAAATTTACAGGTAAGTAATATCGTATCCAGAAATTTGTTTGAAAGAAATTTCATCCTATTTCACGAGAACACATTATTTGTTTTACTATATAGTTTAGGGGATTCAAAAAGAAATTTGACAAAAATTTGATCCTGTGAACTGAAAATAAAATTCGACCAACCTTCTGTTCGATCAAACTTCGGTCATTCAATTTTCCATCTACGAAACTTCTTTCAAACAAATTTGCGGTAACCAAGCAATATGTATAAAATGAGCTAGGGTATAAATATAACACTAAAAAATCAAATCAATCGAAATATGTTCTGATGCTTAAAAACAGTGATAAAGATTTTCTTTTTTTTCTAAATAAAATATATCTGCTTATATTTATGTATACGTTTAAGTATTATAATTAAAAATTAGAAATAAATTTAATATAACAATTAAAAATCTATTTTCAATATTTTATCTGAATGTAAGAGTTAAGATATTTTTCAAATATCAATAAATGTTCATAAGTGTAGCACTGTTATTAATTCGTATTCCCATTTATTGAGAAAACCCAAAACATATTTTGTTGTTTTTTCTATTTCCTTTTTAATATTGCGAAATTAAATTTAAACCTATGTTATCCAAATATCTTCAAACAATATCAAATTAAAATTTTCAAAGAAAGAAAAATTTGAATAATCTTATAAGAAATCAATATAAACTAACTGTTAATACACCACAGAAAATTTTAGCTTTGTGTTATTAACATGTAATAAGTTTTAATTATTTTTCATTCCAAAAATTTATTGTTATCAAATTGCTTGATAAAAACTTAACGTTTAAAAATACTTTAAATAAGAAAATGCTGTTTACGCTTATTAGTCTTGTGAAACTTCATAGCCAAATACCGCTCACTAATTCACTTACCACTCATCCAAAAAAGAAAGTACCAAATGAAGTTGCAACGATTTTAATGTTAAACTAAATAACCATAATTAGAATTACGCACAGAACTATTTTTTTTTTTGGAAAATAAAAAACAATACATGGTAAAAGGGATCTGGGACTATAGAATTTTAATAAAGTTCAGGGGGCGTGCAAAAAAAGTGTGGTTGCTTATAAAAGGCTGCCATCCCGTGGATGATTTTATTATTTATTAAAAACTCTGCTGGAGGCAGCACAAGATATGCCTCATAAAAGAAGGAATATACCTTCTACGGTAAACAAATATTGGGGGAAGGGAATATGGTGTGTAAATTTTGATGTGAATGACAATATCTTTAAATCTAATAATATTAATTGTGAAAAAGAGGTTTTACATTCTCCTTTAACAAATAAATATATGCTATTACAATTAAAAAAATATAGTTCAATGGCATTGACCAACCATGGGTACATTTACATAAGTATACAAATGCCTAAAATAAACATATCAAAACCCAATCATTTTACTTACACAATTGAAAATTTATTTAAAAAAATAGAGCCATGCCATTTTTTTTTTAAATTTCATGGGTATGAACAAAGTTTTGTTAAGATTTTCTTTCAAAATATGAAAATATATAATTGTTTCCACCTTGTGAAAGGTAAAGCGGCCGTAAAATTTTATGAGATTAATAATACTCTTAAAAAAATACTGAGGCTGTTAAAGACATTAAAATGGGTTAAGAGATTAATTTTTAGATGAAAAGAAAATTATTTGTTTGACGATCATATGAAATTATTGTTAAAAAAACAAGGCACAATTTTGGTTAAATTTTTAATGAAGTTACCAATATATTGGATTCCCTTAATGCAAAAGATATTTCAAATGGAATATAGATTTTTTGTTGCAAAATTAAGGTCATGTTTTTTTAATTTTTAGAGAAAAGAAATTGTAACACAGGGCAACAAAAGTAGAAGGATAAAGGTATATTATAAAGCAAATAAATATTTATCAACCCTAAATGATGTTAAAAACGTCAACATCATTACATAGATACTTCTTTTTTAAAATAAGGAATTCTGATGAGTTTTCACAATAGGAGGCAAAAACTTATAAAGTATCACAAAATGCCTACAATCCTTTTTCTGTTTACATTAACAATTAGTATATATATATTATATATATATATTAATTCAACATATTTTAACAAAGTGACTTTAAGTTATTAAAGAAATTGATAATTTATTATATATTACCTATATCTCTCTACCAAATTTTTTGCATCGTCCAAAGCTTTTCCTGATGCAAATAAATTCAGAGGATTGGTGGTGATAAAAAAGTGCCTTGCTCGTCCTCCATAAGTTGATTGGTCATATCTGGGTTCATCTATGTTAATTTTTAACTGTGTGATGGACATTTTCTTGAGTTTTTAACTACTGCAAAACCTAGAGAAAGTGTGCACAGAAATTTAATTAACCTAACACTCAAAATGCATGGTGATTTTAAATTAATTGCTTAAATTTGATTTTAGGTTAAATCTATTTCAGACCTGTTTACTCTTACGATTTTGGCGTACAATGTACGATTTTGAGGTGTTAGCATGTATACTGTATGTTTATTTTTTTTCTATAAACATAAGGTATTGAACGATTTTATGATAATATAGTACGATTTTATGAGTGAGAGTAAACAGGTCTGCTATTTGGTGTTTTCACTCCAAAAAATGGGGAAAAAAAATAATAAAATTTGAAGACATGAAATAAACTGATATAGGTGAAAGCAATGGAATAAAATGAACAGTATTTTAAGGCATAGAGCAGAGAAAGGTGAAGTAGAGTAAATAACTTTTGGAACCATTTTAAAGCCTTTTGTCTAGTTTCCAAACCTGTCAATGGTGCTAACCATAATGGAATTTTAGACATTGCAGTTACTCTTATATTGTATGCAAGTAATAGGCCTACACCAGATAGAATGTATAAGGAAAATAAATTAATAAGATTTGGTACGTCGACTCCATACGGTATAAACCAAATTCACAATTTTAAACAGCTGCAACATATTTTTTCTGTTAGTTTTTTAAATTTTACTTCCACTTCTTTGTCAGGGGCTTGTGCCCATTTTTTTTCTCTCATTTTTAGGTAGGATACATGTATATAAGTAGGCCTATATCATGTAACTTTATAATAAATTTATACTTTATGATTTTTGTTTTGTTTTTTGTACTGATGAAGGCATTAGCCGAAACATCTAAATTTGTATTCTGCATGATCATTATTAAAGCTGAACTTGTATTGTTTTATTTACGAAAACTGTTTGCGTCTAGAAATGTACTTGAAAGCTGTATCGCAGTCCAAAACCCATATAATTAGTTAATCATAAAATGCACTGTTGCAAAGCCTTTGTGAAAACTAATGATAAAAGGAATAAATCTCTAAAAATGTAGATAAGTTCCCATAGAGCTGTAAAAGTAAACAAACATATTGAATTGTCATGTAATGTGAATTATGTGTCAGGGTACACATTTCAATTAATTTTTCCCTATCATCATTTTGTTTAATTATCGAATATACTTTATTAAAAAAATTTAATGTAACTGACACAATCTTACACAGAACATAAACAGATTCAAACATAATACTATTGTTAAATTATGCCAAGTTATCAATTTTATTAAAATTCGGAACCAACAAGTTCTTTCAATTATAATGTTTTGTCACATGCAGTCATGCTACACCTCCTGTTAAATAACATGTTAGCTGTAAATAGAAAATCTAGGTGGAGGCCATAGAGGGGAGGCACTGATATGTATTCATATTATTCGAGGTCACCTTTTCTATTCAATCTATCCTTGACTGAATTATTTAATGGTAGTGACAGAAATGGAAATGGCAGTATACCGTGCTCTTTTATCTTACAGATTTGTCATTATCAAATGTCCTCAATAAATTCTCTTATACAGAATTTGACCTTGGTTATTTGATGATGTTTTCTTCAGCTGTTTACGAGTGTTAAAAAGAATTCTGTTATAACCCTAGTTTCAATATCATATGTGAATTATATTTTTGGAGCCTATAGGCCCTAAAAATTAATTTAAAAAATAATGTTGCAGGGAGAGAACAAATATAATTAGAGTTAAAAAGAGATGTTAACATGATATATCTTTTGTCAACAACTGAGAGTGTGCGCTTGTGTTAGTCTTTTCTGATTAACAAAAAGCTGCCAACTATGGCCTATCACTAACATTAGTAGTACAACTGGTATGGTATTAGCTAAAATTTGCCAGTTAATAATAAAACAAATATTGTAGGCTATACCTGTATAGTAGATTTTAAATGTTTCAGTTTTAATTTGTTTTATTATTTAACTTGATCAAATAAATACATCATAGATGTATCAAAATGTATAATAAGCAAAGTTTCTAAAAATGTATTTTATGACTTTTAACCCTTTTGTTACAGATGATATCATCGCGACGTCACAATCACCCACTTTCAACTACCAAGGATGTCATATTGTCGTCATAACAAAGGGGCAAAGAACTTTTCTGAAATACCAAGTACGTCACATCGACGTCATATTTCAATGCTATAAATTTCTTTATTTATTAATCAAACGGGAAGTTAATAACCAATTCGGACAGAGAATGAAAAATATATATATTTTTTTTTTTTAATAAATATTAAGTTTTTTTATTGCTGAGTCAGCAAAAATTAATGTGCCTACGCGCCCCCCCCCCCCCACCCACCGGCGATGAAAGGGTTAAATTTTTTTTTTTTAAAAAATATTAAGTTTTTTTAATTCTGAAGCAACAAAAAATAAAGTGGCTACGCGCCCCCCCCCCCCCCTCAACCAGCGGTGATGAAAGGGTTAAAAGATGATCACTATTGACTATTAAAATACAGAAAAAAATGCTACATTAAAGCCAACTAATAATCAAGAATACTCATTGATAAGACCTAATTTATGCAAATGTTTACTGTTTAGCTTTGTGTTGGCTTGTCTAAATCATGACTTGTTACAGATGGCAAGCCAAAATGTATAGCATTAAGTATCGGCTATCTATAAATATACTCCACTACCATTAGTGTTTTATGTTTCGAATAATCAATATTCGTCACATGATCCTTTAGTTTACAATTAAATGTATAAATAATCATTTCAAATAAATGATAATTTTCAGCCTACAACAGTACTTAAGTATGTCATTAATTATTGGTCCACTCTTAAATAGGCTTACCATAATTGTAAGGGTTGAAATTCATACTGGGTACCAATGAAAGAATCTTTAAAAGTACAAGGTCTATAGTACAATATGTGGTTTCAATACTTAGGGAGAGAAATACTTCTTTCCCCTAGTGATAGAGTTTTGCAGCCAGTAGAACTAAGACATTAAAAAATGTAATTTATCTACCATGATTTATGTGTGAAATTAATATTTTATGTTATTGCCAAACCTTTTCTTGTTCCTCATTTGAAAACAACATTTAATGACATAACATGTGCTTGAAATTTTCTCGACGGTTCTTAAAAGCATCAAGGGAATATTATTTTAGTAATCTGAAGACCCCTGAGTGTAGCTTCTAGCGTATTGCCCCTATTCTTACAAAAGGTCTTTAGGGGGGAAAAGGTACAGCCATGGCAGGGTCTCATATTTACAATTCACATGTCATTCAAAACATAAAGTCCTAACTGTTAAAAATCAGCTAATAGCATTCAAACATAATGGAAGTTCCATGCACACTATATTTTAATAGGCCTACTATTAGTATTACAGAAAACAGTTTTTAAATTCGGTTCAAAAGGAATATTTCCTAATCAGAGATAAGAATTTTACTGTATACTTTTTTTTTTTGCATTGACCAAATCTCTGCCATAGATTTCCAAAAACTCTTTGCAATGACAAGCTGAAAAAAAATAAATAATAGGGCAATGCTGTCCACTCATCTGATTTAAAATGTGTAAACAAAAATTTGGGTGAAAATATTTTCGAACAACATTCATTGATTCAGTTTAGGTAGGAAATCATGTGAGAGCACAGGAGAAGTTGTAACTTAAAATGGGGGAGGTAAAAAAAAGTTAAGGAGTGGGATGAATTGTCAGGTGATTTATGCGTTAAGCACATAAGAAGACCAACTAATTGGGAACATAGGGTGACATGAAAATCAGATACTATCAACCAATCGGGAACATAGGGTGACATAAAAATCAGATACTATCTTCTCCTTCTTTCTGTTGCTTGCACAGGGGAGGTATCACAGGGTATCGAGTATAACTGCTAACAGCGTTGGGAAAGATGCATTGGGATGCGAAAAGTAACTTGATGTGTAGGTATTTGGCTATGTAAAATTCCATGCCCTCTCCCTCACCATCAGGACCAAGTTAGATGAACTAGACAGGTGAGCACCACAAATTTATTACTGTGCTTTGTAGGATGATAAGAATATGAAAAGAAAGTCTTTGGGTTAGAATAATCAAGATGGCAGCTGGGGTACTAAAGGTGTCACAATGACTATTGGTAGGCAGTGAGAACCCTTTATGGTACCATGTTATTTGAATAGGTATTCTAGCCAGATATTGTTGTGATTTTGTGGAAAATTACCTGCTATTAAGATATCAGTGTATGAGACCTCCCATGAGTAGAAAGCAGGATACAAGTTGTACTTGTTTTTAATTGGTGCTATTCAGTCGGGGAGGAATTGTGAGACATGGTAGGAACGATGCTTGAAAGTATTTTTTAATTTATAAACAAACATAAGAATGTGTGGCCAAATGACTTCGGATGTTGTAGGCTATGTTTCTTCTGATGAATTTACACAACTATGGTCACTATGGAAATGTCAATTGTGGTTACAAAAAGTTTGACAATTTTTTTGAAAGCACCTACATTAGTGAAGCTGGATTCTTTGTAATGACTAATGGAACATATCAAGTCCAAAAAAAACATAATGATAATGCTTTGGGACATTGACAGGTGAAAATTGAGGAAATCCAATGAGGGCAGGTGCTACCTCAAATAAAAATTGCAAGTAAAATAATGATCTTATTATTTATCTATTCAAAACAAAATATGTCATTAAAGAAGCACTACATTTTTTTTTCGCTTTAACTTTAAGTTTATTTATAATTTATATCATTGATCATGATGAGCTGATAGTTGATGGGTAAGAAGTTTAAGAAAAATTATAAATAATGTGAATAATTCTCTAAAAGTAAAGAAAGAATCTGCCACCCAGGATTTGTGTATAATATATATATAAAATAAAATCTATAGGCTAATTTGTGTCACATCACGTGTGTGCTGGTTGTGTGTGTGTGTGGGGGGGGGGGATGATTACTAATTTACTTAAATACTCTATTCTCGAGTCTTAGTAGATATATATATATTAAATAAAAACTATAGGGTAATTTGTGTCCCAGCACGTGTGTGCTGGTTGTGTGTGTTTGTGGGGGGGGGGGGGATGATTACTAATTTACTTAAATACTCTAGTCTCTAGTCTTAGTAGAATGCTAAGCTAAGAGGCCTAAATGATGCCATTGATAACCTAGCTCAGCCATATTAAAAAAGAAAAACGGTATGACTTTAATTGTAAATATAGTGGAGAATACAAATAAAGTATTAATAGAACTAGAAGAAACATTTACCTGCTTACTTTCTTTAATAAATTAATTCTAATTCTATGATTCTATGCAGATGCATGCAATTGCAAAGAGGCCTAAATGATGCCATTGATAACCTAGCTCAGCCATATTAAAAAAGAAAAACGGTATGACTTTAATTGTAAATATAGTGGAGAATACAAATATAGTATTAATAGAACTAGAAGAAACATTTACGTGCTTACTTTCTTTAATAAATTAATTCTAATTCTATGATTCTATGCAGATGCATGCAATTGCAAAGAAACTTCACAACAAAGTCAAAGGCCTACCTGATCCTGAATTAATGAGACTGCAATAGGCAAGTAAGAGATAGGTTGTCTGTTAATTTTACAGTTCTATGCTTAATATAACAAAACCCAGCTGGATCATTAATTCAGTATTGACCTATTTGCAGGTTGTCCTTACTAACTTCGTGGCACTTGGGGCCTTGGAGAAAAATAAACCATAGACGGGTATCTCCCATAGCTATTTTTATCTTTTAGCCGTGAAATGTATATATTTAAAAAATCTAAACATAAAGAAAATTTTATAAGTAGGAGCATTACTTTATAAACAGAAAGTTGTTTCTTGGATTAGAAATTCGATTATGTATTTTAGATTCATAAATTGAGGGTTTAACAATAAAATTATATAGCTTAGTATTATAATCTAAAATGTTTGCTCATTTATCGGCTGGCGTACTGGCCGTGATCGTATAGTGGTTAGTACTTCGCGTTGTGGCCGCGACAACCCAGGTTCGAATCCTGGTCACGGCAGAGGCTGTGATTGTCTCGCACGTCCAAGTCAGCTAATTTTTTTTTTTTACAGGTTCACGCGAAACGGTGTTGAATTTGTATTTTGTCAACATTTAATTAATAAACTAAACAGTTTCTGTAAATGTTTCGGTCTTCTTCTTGTAATCTTTATTAAGTTTAAGAGAAATATAGGCCTAACTTTATATACGGGGAGGACTGCGTACAGGTTGAAATTTATGCAAGCAATAAATCATTATAAGTATAAGAATTATACAAGGCTGTAAAATATGAGTTCTAAATATTAATTTCTTAAATTTAAATGTACCCCAGTAATATTTGAGTAGCTACTAATCTAACGGTCTATAAACTTTTAAATATTAAATTTGAAAGGACACTGGTCTCATACTACTCATGTCGTAGTATAATAAAAAAAAATAATATAGTTTGAACAATTGTGCAACGACAGTCTTATAAATGATTAAATCTATTACTATTAATAATTAATTTGCCAAGTCAGCCAGTGAACTTACTTCTTTTATTCCCCTTACTTGGTGCATGACCACATTTCAGTTTCCTCTCTGACTTAACACAGCTTCCACTTTCAGTTCTATAAAATAACAGTGCAAGGGATGGAAAACTGGACAACATCCCAAGGCCCCAAGCGTAGCCCTTATAACGTTATATGTTATTAATATAGCAGGCCGCGCCTCTTCATAGTTCGCAATTTTCAGTCAACACAAATTTCTAAGGCAGTGTTTCTCAAATGGTGTTCCGCGGACCTACGCTGGACCACAAGCCTTAAGATGCATGTCCGCACAACATGAGTATTGTATCATTAAGGTATGACATCTTGTTTGCTGTCAACAAGTGAGAAAGATCTTACAGACCTCGGCTGTGCAACGTGATGTAGCCATTTCACATGTTCAAGATGTTATCAGTTTCTTCATCGAAGATAATAAGCATAAGTATTTGAATCAATAATGAACACTGTTTTTTTTAAAAATACTTTATAAACTAACATTGAGCAAGTGTTTAAAGAACCCCACATTAGGTGAAAAAATGGGCATTTTGAATATGAATCTAGAGACGAGACACGAAGGAGGCCTTAAGAATCTTTCAGGAAACAATATTTCTTGTGGTTAGTAGACAAGACTTTGGGATCCTTGAAGACATTTCCAACAACTGCAAATGTACATTGCTATTTTTAACGATATTGAGCAACTCAGTACCATGATATCCTGCACAATTTCAGCAAACCGTGAGGACTGGGATATGGCTTTGAGAAGTAAAGTAAGGATAAAGATGGTTTGGACTTACCAGTACCCAAAGAGCTAAAAATCTCTTAAAAGTAATTATTCAAGGACAAGTCCAAAACAAATTCAAATTCTTGTGCAGCTGGCATATTCTTTGCCTAATACTACAATCACATACAAAATAATGCTGACAGTGACGGTAACTGTAGTAAGTGCAGAAAGAAGTTTCCCAAATTAAAGTTGATCAAGATCACCAATATCTTAGGTTCGATTGGATTGTCAACACTGTCAATTGAACAGGACATTTTTACAACCCTTGACTTTGATGCTGTAGACCTCTCAATTTTTTTAGTCGAATTAGCTGCCAGATTACTGTCTCAAAATTATATTTTTTTTACATTATGCAGTCTCTTTAAGAGCTCATTCAGCTTATGTTTTTCAAAATTTTGTTCTGGCAACTATAAGATTAGCAGCAACTTAGGCGCTATGAACATTTTGGCTCAGTGCAATTCAACTTGCACACCAATTTTTCTTAATAACCGATCAGCCTATAAAAAGTCTAAGGCCCCACAAAATTTAAATTTCCCCAAGACCTCACACCCACTAGCACCCACCCTGAAGATAAGATATATTTATTATTTCCTTATTTCCTCCTTGAAATTGATCTCCCCCTTATAAACAACCCCCCCCCCCCAATCCTGCCAAAATCATCTACATTATGTCATTGACAGTACCATAAAATTACTCCATGATTTTAATGTATTTCTTATGAAAGTTAAAAAAAAATTTTCTAATAAGTAATTTTCTTTATAACAGTTATCAATATTTAGGTAAAAATTCTACATAAAATTAAACAAATTCTATACATTACTTGGCTTTCCACACATATTTTAAATTTTAGTGAAATCAATACAATGCCCCAAAGATTTTTATTACCATGGCGTAAATATAAAAAAACAACAAAGTTATTATCACAGCACCAAATGTATAGTTTAATGTAAAATTAAAAATCATTCAAACAAAATGTTCAAATTGAAAAAACTGCATTACAAATACTCAATCAATACATATCATAATATGTATAAAGTCAGTAATAGTTCAATGTCAATAGTGTCATCTTCCCTTATTTGATAAAACAGAGGTCTTTCTTATGACCACCAAAGTATTTAAACCATTGCAATTTCTTCAAAGCCCTTGTCTTCACTTCATTTTTTAAACTAAGTAATTCAGATCACCAAAAAGTATAAATCTGAAAGTGGCCCAATAAAATGACCATAAACTCTAAATTAAAGTGTAGACAATTCTCCAGTGAAATAGTACAGAGTCCCATCTTGACTTCCCTGTATGTAAGCTCTCTGTAAGCCCTGGCCTGACTGGTCAAGAGGTTCCTCAATGACAGTAGCAGCTGACCCAATGATATCTTGAACCAGGCAACTGGATTCTTGATTATCCACTATGATATTGGGTGCCTCACAAGTGGTCAGTGCTTCAGAATGACCTTCTAAAGCAGATGTGGCAGCCGTTTTCTCTTCAACAGTGTTGACCTTTTCTCCCAACGTATCCTCACTCTCTATTATCAAAATGGCTGCTGCTGTACCTGACTCAGTCTGGGGTTGGACAGAAGAAATCATACCAATAAGTTATGTGGCATCAAGCCATTATCCCTTCAATTAAAAATGAATCCGTAATAAATCAACTACCAACTAGAAAGAATGGTTCAAAGAGTCTCTGACTAATTCTGCTGGTGATTAAATTAGAGATTATTTAACATACCTTGTGTGTGCTTTCATGGCGTTGTAATGCATACTTGGTGTTGAACTGCCTACAACATGTCCTGCAAACGTGTGTTCTGGGCTGCAGGTGTAATGTCATGATGTGTTTTCTTTGAACAGGCTGAGTCTTGAAGGCTGCCCCACAATACTGACACAGGAAAGGACGTTCAGAGCTATGCATACTCATGTGTTCTTTCAAATGAGCCTATGTCATACAAGAGGAATTTTTTTAAATAAGAAATCCCTTTTTAATTACAGTATTGATAAGATTGCAAGCGTTTTTTTAAATTAATATTTTATTATGTAGATTTATAAAGGAAAAGTTTCAAGTTATAAGTTAATGATAATGAATAGGTATAATACAGTCAAATATCGATAAGGAACTATAAGCTTACGGGTGATCGGAATCCTTTATCACAAGTTTGGCACTTGAAGGGCAGAGTACGAGCTTGTCGTGACACGTGCACAAGCTTATGTTGTTGTAATGCATCTGTTCTTTTAAATGCTTTCCCACAAGTATCACATAAATGAGGTCGTATTTCTGGCCCATGAACATCTCGGATATGTCGATGGAGATGCATTCTGCTACGAAAGCTTTTTTTACAATGAGGACAGCTATTGGGATCAGCATCAGATATCTGGCTCAACCTGAAAAATTCATACCAATGACCAGTACCATTTTTTAAATTTATTTCTGAAATAGTAATGAATTTTCATCGGGAACGGGAATTATGAAAGCTAAATTTTCACTTCATTAAATTCTTTGAGTCTTGAAATATCAAAGAGAAATTCAATCCACTACTCTGGTCTCATTAATAAATGTTACCATTTTAATATTACCACTTTGTTCAGGTGGAAATTATGACAAGATTACTAAAATGATTTTACAAATCAAGATGAGAAATAGTACCAGAAAATGAGGAGTAGATAAAAAGCACAAGATACACTCATACAGCAGGGACAATTTTAAGATGTTGTGGCTATGGTTAGCAACCTCCCTAATAAGGCACAATCACCAAGTCCCACAAGCAGAGAAACACCAAGGATGTCTCCTCAAAAGCACCAAACTACTTTTATGGAAAATGTGTGAAATTAAGTAGTGGATGCTTGTTATGTCTACATAGAAAGTAGTCACATATTTATATGCAAATAACACGATTGAATAAAAATGAGCATGCATAAAGTGTATAAAGTAGGTAACATTACCTATCATGTGCCACTTGATGCCTTGTCATCTCTTTTGGTTTGAAACAGGTAAATGGGCAGTTTGGACAACTTAACCTGTCTCCCGATGACCTCTCACGATTGTGTTTCAATTTGATGTGTCTCCTGAGTAGTTCATTTCTGTCTGTTGTATAAGCTCCACACAGGTTACAACTAGCCAAAAACACAAGCCAGCATATATGCTCCATTGATGGAGAGATACACAAAAATAATAAAAATGGTAAGGAAATTTGATATGCTGAGTCAAACATGGCATCAGGTGATAGATATTAGACCTGGGGTACAGCCAGGTGTAAAATGATACAGTACCTACAGCACATAAAGAAAAGAGATAAACTATTAGAAAAAAGATTAAGTGGGTACACTCCATCCTGAGAGTGCAATTTGAAGTGAAAGACCTAACGCTGTTGGCATTATATAAATAAAGACTTTCTTTGTTGTCCAGAAAGTTGAAATGTAAAAACTTCTCGGGTTGACTATGTGTTAGTAGTTGTACTTTAGAAAATTATACAAATAAAACATCTAAGACACATCCCTGGTTCAATGGAAGCAAATCTTGGGGAGAAAGAAACCCTTAATTAAAAACATCAGCCTCCGTAGACAACAGCTAGCTTGGTGTGGGATCAAAATCTGTAGCTTATGTTTTACAAGCAAAATGGTCATCAGAATAGATAACAAGGGATCTACTTTGTCTGAACAAGCCACAACAAGCTATATGGCCTGAAAAATAACTTTTAAAAAATAACATAAGCTTTCCTGAGGGCCATTTGCAAAACTGCCTGATTATTCAATTAAATTCATTAAAATTAAAATGTTCTCCTGCATCAACTACTCACCTGAATAAATTTTGCTTGTGCTTTAACTCATGACGCTTCAGCATAGGAACACTAAGCGTGACAAATTCACAATGGGTGCATGAATGCTTTCTCTCTGTGCCATCTTTGTGACATCTCATGTGAGACAAGAAGTGACTTTGTCTCTTGGTCTTGAAAGAGCACTGAGTGCAAAAAAACTTGAAGGCCAGATGCTCCTCATAATTCCGTTGCTGTTTTGTTGCTGGCGACTCAGTTAAAGGATTCCTGGGCTGGACTTTTTCCACAGGTAAATGAGGATCATCTAGAGGGATGTACAGTTATGACAAAGTGCATGAACAGTTGTGCTATCACATATTAAACAAATGAAAATTAAGGTATTTGCCTCTACTAAAAAATGAATGACGTTACCACAAAAAGGTCAGCCACAAGAAAACCAGGATTTAAATTTAAAACTTTTTTTTTTAGCTCTACATGCTTTAACTACTGTATACTCCACTAATATCAATGTACATAAATAAAATAAAAAAACACAATAAATCGTAAGCATTTATGGTACCAAGGGATAAAACATTTTTCCTTTGTTTTAGAAAGTAAAGTCTTCTTTTCAAAACTTACTGGTTTATAAAATGCCTATAGTATATGTTAGTGCTTGTTATAGCTGTTTTTTTTTTCATTTATATCACTCACATTTCTTACAAGGCCTTCCTCTTCTCTTTATGATAGTATTTGAAATTTTGGGCTCCGATGAGTTTTCTTGGGCTACGTCCTTGCAGCCTAAAATGATATCAGAAACATGCTAGGAGATCTCACCAAGAATTTCACAATCTTTTTGTACAACAAGTTATGAATTAAATATTTTAATTGGCATCTTGTATTTATTCTTGTTACGGTATGTTTCTTTTTTGTTTTGTAAATTTGAATTTAAGTTAGTAACAAGCAAAGAATAACAGAATCAACATGAAAACATATTTTCTTTACGTGGAGGCATTCTAATATATTGACCAAACAGTATATATAAAAACACTGTTTAAAATAACATTTAAAATGTAAGGGAAATACTAACTATAAATGTAATAATTTAGCCAATATAAAACAATAAAGATGGAAGTACCGTCATTATCCATAGAAGGTGTCTTTACATCATGAACTGGTAATTCATTTTCGATTGATTTTTGTTCGCATTTTTGAAGAAGATGGTTCAGCAAAACCTTCTTGTACTTGGTTTGCTCCTCAAGTAATCGTTGGCAAACAGGATCAGATGAATCTAATTCTGATTTTTCCAACGGTGGACCTACTGGACTTTCAAAAGTAATTTCACTAGTTTGCTGTTCAGAAATGTTAACATTGGGATCCTCTACTGGCTTAACACACTCAAGCTCTTTAACACATCCGCCATGCACATCATTTGCTGAACTTACAGAATCAGGCTCATGAATGTTATGTAGAGTTTCAAATGACATTTTTGCATTGTTCACTAATGAATTTATTACTTTTCTTGGGCGGCCTCTTTTCCTACGATTACCACAAATATTTTTCCTCCCTCGACCGCCAACTTTTCTGGATTCATTGCTGGCAAGTATGCCATCAAGATTTAGATAATTGTCAAGAGACGTAACAAAACCCATTTGAGATGCTTTCAAAGAGCATTTGGGCTGACGGCCTCTGGATGACACATATGGTTTCAAAAGCTCACAATTTAGGCTTTTATCATCTTTGGATTTACCATATTTTTCAAACTTAAAATCCAACAGAGTTCTAGAACGCAATTTTATCATCCTCTTTAAGGAATTGTGCAATTTCAAGAGTGCACTCAAGTCTCCACTGAAGGTGCAGTCCAAATTGGAATCAAATGTTATTTCAGACGGCACAGTAGACTCTTGTTTAGCCTGCTCAAGAAGGAACTGCTGGCAACCAGGAACCAGCTTCAAAATAGTTGAGTTCAATCGAGCTGAGATACTTGAAAAAATCTGAGGATAAGAAATATTATTTTAGAGCAAGACATAAAATCCTTATCATTTAGATGTTTTCAAATAGATATGAGCTGACAACCTCAAGGAAACATCTTATTACCAACTTAACTTATAATTTAAAATGCAAACAAGGAACTTGGGAATAGAAATCACACTCTCGATAAGCAGGCCTGACCGTTAAATATTAAAAAAGAGAATCATTTCTTTCTGAGAAACAAATGTGAAACTTACTGGAGTATCATCATCTATTCCAGCCTTTTCGAGTTCTTGAACGACTTCTATTTCATGATTATCATCATCCGCAGAGTCACCCTCAATGGAAGTCATAGACCCGAAATTTCTCTTCTGGATCTGCTTTATGTGATGTTCTAAGTGAGATTGCTCCAAGTTTCGAAGCTCAGTCTTTTGTTTCTCTAGAATGCATCCATCTCCACCACTGTGACCATCTGGTTCTAAAAATTCGTCAGACCTTACTTCCTTGGAAGATTGTGAACTGTCAAGGCTCAGACTTGAAGCTTCAGTGCCGGGGGGCAAAATTTGTTGGGAGCTAAAGTGAAGAGTTATACAACCTGGAGTTGATCCTGCTACTTGCTGCACCTGCAAAGGGTACGCAGGCATCTTTTCATTAGGTTTGTGGTGTATGGTTGTGCTTGAAGGTGTACTGCACTGATTCAGCTTAGAAATATCTAAGGAAGAATAAAGGCCTTGAGAACCTTTGGCCACATCCAGAGTTAAAGCCTGGCTACCACTTGGCATAAAAGAATTAGGCTCCACTAGAATATATTCTGATCCAAGAGATTGGCCTCTGTCTATCACCATAGTAACTGTTTGCTGTGAATAGTCAGTATTCAGATGGCAGAGTTTTGTTCCCTCTTCATTAATATCACTAGCAGTGAATGACAGCTGCTTTGGTGCACCACTTGCAGATGGCAGGTCATTGGAGCTCAGCACAACATTACCTTGCAGTGCTGTGGACAGCATGTAACTCGTGTTTGGTTCCAGAACGAGGGGATTATTGTCCCCAGCACCTGATGAGAGGACAGTGTGATCAAATACTAGAGTGCCATCAGGATTCAGATATAGGACACGAGTGTCCTTATCCAAGACCAGGTTTATATCCTCCATACTGACACTATCTTCAATAATCATACCATTGCTTCCAAGTTCAGAATAATCTCCTTCATTGGTCAACACAATCTGCATCTTGTTTTTGTTTTCTTCCACTTCCATCACAGCTGATTCAGATGTGTTATTGTTTAATATAGTTCTTGGAAAACACTCTCTATTAATGGACATAGTTTACAGAAGTGTTGACTCTTTTTTAGTTTCTTGAATGTCCTTATTTAGGCCTTTGCTCAATCACAAGTCTTGGTAATGGAAGTAAAAGTTGTTTTTCAACATGTTAAGTGGCTGAAAGTTAAGAATATAATAAAGGATAAGTTTGGACAAACAAAATAATGATTATCTTAAAATAATATTATGAAAGTCAGTTGTTATTGACACAAATTGTGACAAATTATTTATCATTAATTAGCCTATTATATATTAACAAAATACTTACTAAATAAACGTTGTGGCTTAACCCTTCAGGTCCTGTGGAAATAGTAGCACAACACCTGAAACTATGACCACCAGTACTACAAGAGGAAAATAATTTTGTACAACTTTATTTAAGACTAGAGCCCATCCACATTTTAATTTAATCCAACAACCTTTTAATCTATTAAAAATAAGATATTAGGGCCTAAAGTAGGCTAAAGGAATGGGCACACACTAAGAATGGAACAGTCACACAGCAAGGTATCGTTTTAAGGATTTTTTTTCCAGGGCCTTGCAGGGGGAGGGGGGTTAAGGGGGCACCCTTTGTGTGTTCTGCCCTTAAGGGTGTTCCAAAAATGTCCTTTTTATGCAAAATATATTAATTATTACATATTTTATTTAATGACACAGCTTTTTGCCTAATTATATCACACATTGCATCACACATGCATTAAAAACTTATCAGCACTGTGCCATTTCCTAAGATGCGGGATCAAATTCTGGCATTGAATCTGGCAAACTTAACTGGTTGAACAGTTTGCCAAGAGCCGACATGTCCAGAATTTTCATTTTTTCCATAATTTCTTACTTTTGTCCTTGAATGCATTTGAGTTAACTCTGATGATCGTCCATGCTGAAACCTGAGCAAACCGGTTCCACTTGTCTAGTTTATTGGAAGCCGATTGCAGTAAAAGTTGATCCAGTACCTTAGGAAAAACCAAGGTGCCTAATTTGGTCACAGCCCCATTGTTGCATCTTGAAAATTATTTGTTAATTAAATATGCTAAGAAAAGAGAATAGACATTTGGAGGTATAATTAAATTCTGTACAATGATATTGTACACAGTCACATGCTTCCTTTCATAGTTTTTGCAGTTCTCTAACTCTGGCCACCGTAGGACACATTCACAATTTATAAAATAATATCCATAACTTTTTATTATTTTTACATTGTTTATTCTCTATTTTTACTGCTCTGTTCATTGTTGAATAAAAAGGCTTTTGGTAATCTACCAGTTAAGCATCTGTTATGAAAAAAATCATGTTTTTCCAGTTTGAAGTGTTAGATACTGTTACTGTTTTATTGATAAGATAAAATTCTTTTATTGATCCAAATAAATGGAAATGTTTTTATGACATTATACATGTTAATTTTCAGCACATATAGAATTTTTAAAATAGAAACATTTTAACAATTTACGTTTGAAAAGAAAACAGAATTTGAGTTTATATCATCTCCTCATGCAGCTAGGAAGGGAAAAAATCACGACTTGTGCCAAAACTGTCTTTTCAGTTTTTGATGATTTTTTTGATGAACAACAACGGAGTGTTTGTAGATTCTGTCTCTGCCCATCCATCTGATACAAAAAGCAAGCCTGGAAGGATATATCTCTCTATGCACTCCTGAAACATGATCATATGATGGTCTGGAACTTCAACAAGAAAACAGTTCCCATGCCATTCTCTCTTTCTATGCCACCGAAAACCCAGTGGCCCTCTCCACAGTACTATTAACAGACATTAATAAATAAAAGAATAACTGTGTTAATAGCACTTCAAACCGGAACAATACAAATTTTTCATAACCAAGGTGCCAACACTGAAAAGGTACTTTTTTTCCCAAGCAAAACGTTTTTTTGAGTTGTCTTAATCAAATTTTAATCTACCATTACTATAGAGACTAGACTATACTATATAAGTAACTAATAGTAATAGTAATAGTATTAGTATAGTCATAGTCCATATGAATATGTGTATTTTGGGGGAGTGGGGGCTCCCCATCGCGACCGCTCATAAAGCAAAAATCTGCAAATAACATGACATCCATTACTCTCTCAGGTGTGCGTATTGAGTTAGCTCAAACAGTGCGGTACCTGGGTGTCTACCTAGATAGAAGACTAACTTTTGAAAGTCATATTAACATGCTATGCAAGGCGATTTTTCTGGAGCTGCGCAGGATTAGTCACATCAGGCCCTTCCTAACAATTGATGCAACAAAGAGGCTGATGTCTGCATTTGTGCTATCACGCATGGACTATTGCAATGCTCTTATGGTGGGTCTTCCAGCTACGCTCCTGGATAAAATTCAAATAGCACAGAATAATGCGGCTCGCATTGTTCTCCGCAAACGCAAGTTTGACCATGCAAAAACACTTCTGAGAGAGTTGCACTGGCTGCCGGTGCGTGCTCGCATAGAGTACAAAATCGCAACTTTGTGCTACCGCTGCTTACATGACCTGGCGCCGTCCTATCTGAAAGAGCTGCTGACGCCTTATGTACCCACTAGAGATTTCCGCTCATCCGATAGTGGCAAACTCTCGACACCACGTGTTTGCCTTGAGACTTACGGAAAGCGCACTTTCACATTTGCTGTTCCAACAATTTGGAACGCCCTTCCTGTCGATCTCAGAATCAACCAGACACTGGAGTCCTTTAAAACCGATTTTTTTCGCAAACACCTTCTGGGATGATTGTCTACTTTATTTTCCAGTTAACGCATAATGGTTGTGTTGCTTAGGGTTGAAATGGCTAGAAAGACTTTGCCATTGTATGCTTGTAATTAGTTTTTGTAGTGCTGCGTTCGCTTAAATGTGGTAAATTATATACATGTTTTTTGTTGACTTTGTACCGCGCTTCGAGCCTTTGGGGATGAAGCGTGTTTTTGAAATGAACTTCATTATTATTATTATTACTAAAGGCCGCCTACTAGAATTTTCCACTCGTCACGGTCCTGTGCTTTCTTTTCCAATTGCTTCCAGGTTTATGCCATATTTTGCGTGTCTGCCTCTAGCTCTAGTCTCCATGTATTCTTAGGCCTTCCTCTCTTTCTTTTTCCCTTTGGGTTTCATGTTAGGCATTGTCTGGTGGTGCTATCGGGGGGTTTTCGGAGCGTATGCCTAATCCATCTCCATCTTTTCTTTATGATATCTTCATCGCTGGGCACCTGGTATGTCCTTTCTAGTAGATCTTTGTTGGTGATAGTATTTGGCCATTGGATTTTCAGGATCTTTCTAAGGCATGTGTTTATGAATGTCTGCACTTTCTGCATAAGGCTCACTGTGGTTTTCCAAGTTTCTGCACTATATAGTAGGACAGTTTTGACATTGGTATTAAAGATTCTGACTTTGGTCTGCAGCTTCAGCTCCTTTGACTCCCGTATTTTCTTTAATAGTACAAATGCTTATCTAGCTTTTCCAATTCTGGCCTTTACGTCCGCATCGGATCCTCCATTTGTGTCTATGGTGCTGCCTAAATAATTGCAGGACTCCACTTCTTCCAGTGCCTTTCCTGCCAGAGCTCTTATGATGAAATGACATGCAGAGTGGTCCACGAAGGTAGATTCACAGATTCATTTACAGTCGAAACAGGAGTCAGACAAGGATGCCTCTTGTCCCCATTTCTATTCATCCTTACCATTGACTGGATAATGAAATAATCCACAGACAAAAAGAGGAATGGGATACAGTGGACACTCTGGGAACAACTGAATGATTTAGACTTTGCAGATGACATTGCACTTCTGTACCACAACCAGCGACACATGCAGGAAAAGACGTACTCACTTTACGTTCCCCTGATTCTCAAAGTATCGTATTTCTACTCTCTCAATATCATTTATCTTGACTGCACATGACACTTGAACCTTGTCCTTGTTCCATACCTGCAACGTGATCGCAAACATATAACACTAGTCATTTGCGACAAACAGAATCTACAGACGAAGAGAGGCCAACTTTTGACTTCTCTTGCACTAACAAAGTGTGCTAACATTCTTACCAGCCCTCAGCAGTGCACAGACGGACACACATTAAATAATCATTTATTGTTAAAAGTCTTTAAATTATACAACTATTTACACTCATTAAATTTGTTAAAATAATGTAATAACCAGTCAATTTTTAAGATTAAAATTTTATTAGGGAAAACATGATTGTTGACGTCAACTAATCTAAACCCTCCCTTTCCCAACAAGTGTCAAACATTTCCAAACATAACATCTGCACCCGGCTCAGCTAATATAACGAGATTTAATACTTTAACAACTTGAAATTAATGAATCAGAACAATCTTGCGTTGATATTTTCTTCAAAAACTAATTCAACACTAAGTGGGTGCAATGTCATCTTCTTCTTCTATATTTCTTTTATATTTTGATGGCCCACGATCAATGTATTGGTCATCTATTTATATTATAATTAGAATATGAAGTTCATATAGGAGTCGTTCATTAATTACATCAACAAATAAGGGGGAGGGTTAAAAAAAGTTTGAAAATTGTTGACAAGAGGATGGGGGAGTCAAAAAAAATGATGTCAACAATTCCATTATTCTCCGGTATTAAAAAAAATAAATATAAAAAATATATAAATAGGCCAACGGCGGCCTTTAGGGTGTGCGACCTGTGCCCTCGTACAGGGCGCCGTGGCCATAGAGACGCCTGGGGCGCCCAGTAAATATTTAAATTCCCTTAGTTTATTATAGTGAAGTACCTTAGAAAAACTAAACAGTCTAAATTAATGTGCATGTTAAAATGCATATGGTTAGCTATGTATAGAATCATAAAACGTTCTTCATAGCCGACGTCGTAATCGGAAAAAGAGCGGAGCCATACAAGGACAGGGAAGGACGAACAGGTGCTTCGCACAGGGCGAAAGTTTACCCAAGGCGGCGTTGAATAGGCCTAGATAATTTGGTGCAAAATAATTGTCATTTAAATTGCTTTAAAATTCTTATAATTTCAAATGGTCAGAACAGCACAGCTGATAAATTATTGGGCCTAAGAAATTAACATCAGGAATTTGAGTGGCCGACAAAAGACACAGAGAGGGGATGGCACTTATTGTCCATGGAGAAAATGTTGATAATTTTAGCAATAAACTAGACAAGGATGGTATAAGTCGTTTCCATAATAATATGCCTAATATTTACCAATAATATGGCAATAATTCAATAATAAATAAAACAGGTATTATCAGTGGCGTAGCTAGGGTTGGTGTCACCCGGTGCGCATGGGCGCCCGCAGAAAACTTTCTAGGGGGGGGGGGCAAAAAAATTGATTAACTTTCCAGGGGGGGGGGGGGAAAATTTTTTTT